CATAGAAAGAATGCCTTTTTACCGGCGCTATAGTATTATATAATTAATATTATAGATCTCTATAGCGTATTAGAGGCTTAATTTTAAGTTATTTTAAAGGGCTTAAAGTATAAGAAGTAATCTAGCTTTAATATTTAATTAAGGCATATTAAATTATAAAGGATTAATTAATTAAATAGAGATAATATAGGTTAAGGGATTTTTATTATACTTATTTATCTATTATGCTCGCTTATTATATATATTAATCTAATAAATAAGAGCTATTAATATATAATAAGAGGATATTTCCTAAGGGATAAATTAATTATATTAATTTATATTAATAGAGAAGAATATTATATAACCTTAAAGGGTAATATAATATTATATTTAATAATATACTTAAGGTATTAAGTATAATTAAGTTATATTAATAGCTAAGGTAATTACTATATAAGAAAATATAATAAATATATTTTATATATTTATTTAATCTTTAAGTTAAATATAATTAAGTTAAGTTAAGTTATTAGTATTTAATTTATATAATCGAGAGAAGTTAAGCCGACTTTGTTTGACTTATATATCTTCTTGCCCTATGATTAGCTAATATAGTAGGGTTAGTTTCCTACCCGGCGTTACCGCCCTCGACTATGTCATAGCCGTGATACTAAGGTAGATTAATTAATAACCCTAAAAGTGCCCTTTACTTATAGTTCGCTTATTACTTATTATTTAGCTATAAATATATCCTCCTAGGAATAAAACTTATTTTCCTTATTTAATTTTTATATTTCTTAGGAAAAAAATTATAAACCCTACTTATAAAGTAAATAATATTATTATTAAAAGTAAGCTAAATAAGCTAAGCTCTCTTATAATTTATTTTTTATTTTCTTAATATTTATATCTATTTTATATTAAGTATTTAGGTTTTTAAAGATTAAAAGAAAATATTAGCTAAAATATATAATTACTATAAGGAGCTTAATTTATAAAAGGATAATATATTAATATTATTATAAAAATAACCTTAATAAATATATTCTTAATAATAAGTAAAACCTATTATTATATAATAGATTTTCTTTACTTAAAAATAAATAAACTAAGGTATAATATTAAATCCCTTAATATTAAATTAAAAAGCTAAAAAAAAATATTATATAGATTTTTTTAATTTTAAGATATAACTTAATATCTTATTAATAGAAAATTTTAAGGGATTAAATTAATTACTTATAAAGAAAAGGCTATAAATAAAGCCTTAAGGATAAGACTAATAGAGAAAAGACCTTATATTATAACTTAAAATAAACCTAACTAGCGGTTAACTTATATAATATAAAAAGAGAAATATTAGACTAATTAATATAGGATTACTTAGCTTACTTAGTAATCCTAATAATCTATAGATTACTAAGATTATAAAATAATCCCTATAATCTAATAAGAACCCTAAATATATAAAATATATTTATCGCATTTTCTTATATATTAGCTACCTTAGTTATTAATATAACTTAGTTATATTTAATACCTTTAAGTATATTACTAGATATAATATTATATTACCCTTTAAGGCTATATAATATAATTTAGTACTAATATAAACTAATATAACCGGTTTATCCCTTAGAAATTACCCTCTTATTATAAAGCCCTTAGAGGTTAATTCTTTATATTATAAAAAAAATAAAAATTATTTAAGTTATTAAAAATAAATATATTATTATTTTTCTCTTTTTTATTTATTTACTTAATTATAAATTTTTATAATACTAGATTCTTTCTTAGGTCCTAGGCGGTTGGGTATACCCCGTTATCTAGGCATAAAGAGTATTTCAAGTACCCCAGCTACTGCCTTACATTCCTTGTTTTGTTGGCTTCGGTCGCGCGACGCGAAACGCGAAACTGAATTAGCAAGGCACAGCGGCAGATGGGCGGCGGCAATTGCAAACCCCGCGGGGCACCAGACTTTCAGGTGACCGGCTCAGCCTTAGGGGATAGCGCCGAGGCGGGAGGCTAGCTCAGGAGAAGCAGAAATAAGCAACGCCAATATTGGCCTTAGCCCAAGCGCGATGACAAGGAGGAAATTAGATGCAACCAGCCACCACCACACAAGCAACCCAATCAGAGCAACACGGCCTCGCACGGCACTATGATGCAAAATCACAGCCAAACAACGCGATGAGCTAGCCAACCTTTACGAGCGGCTAGAACTCCATAGACGCTCAGCCCTTCAGCCGGGTTCCAGGTCCACAACGGTAGTGTAACCCCTTGTGACATGGCGTTCGCCGACTCACCGCAGGCGCTCGCACCGTCAGTTCTTTGTTTCTCGGATTCTAAGATTAGCCCAAGCTAAATGTCAATAGGCTCGTGTCCGAAGAGTCGAGACCGACCTAATCGTGAGCCGGGAACCGAAATTATGGCACCTTGCCGGATTCCGAGAGCGGATGGCCTCGGAGCTGCAACGAGGATATCCGGCTCGATGATGATAAAAGGCTGAGCCAGTTCTCCCCAATTCGACTTCTTCTCCAGACCTCCTCAGCCGTCCAGTCTCAGTCATCACACTCTTTTCACCCTCACGTTCTTTTCATCCATTCGTTGTCAACACTTGTCTCTCATTCCTCCCATTTTCATTCAATAATCGCTTCACTTTCCCAACCGTCAAAATGAAGTTGTCTGCTCTCACACTCCTTGCCATCACCACCGGCATTCTTGCTGCCCCTGTGGCTGATCCGGTTGCTGTTGCCAGCTACGGCTACGAAGCTCCCAAGAGCAGCTATGGCAACAAGGAGGTGCACTACGGCAACAAGGACGAGAAGAAGTACGCCCATGTGAAGAAGCCCGAGCACCACAACTACAAAGCTCCTGAGAAGAAGCCTGAGTACAAGGCTCCCGTTAAGAAGCCTTCGTATAAGGCTCCTGAGAAGAAGCCCGTCTACAAGGCCCCCGCCAAGAAGCCTGCTTACAAGGCTCCTGAGAAGAAGCCTGAGTACAAGGCTCCCGTTAAGAAGCCCGCCTACAAGGCCCCCGAGAAGAAGCCTGAGTACAAGGCTCCCGCCAAGAAGCCTGCTTACAAGGCTCCTGAGAAGAAGCCTGAGTATAAGGCTCCCGTTAAGAAGCCCGCCTACAAGGCCCCCGAGAAGAAGCCCGTCTACAAGGCCCCTGCCAAGAAGCCTGCGCACAACACCTACAAGGCCCCCGAGAAGAAGCCCGAGCACAACACCTACAAGGCCCCTGCCAAGAAGCCTGCGCACAACACCTACAAGGCCCCTGCCAAGAAGCCCGCCTACAAGGCTCCTGCCAAGAAGCCTGAGCACAACACTTACAAGGCTCCTGAGAAGAAGCCTGAGCACACCAGCTACGGCTACTAGATGTGTGGATTGGCCTGTGTAATGTGTGTGTTGAGTGGCTGGTCGGCTGTGTTGGATGTATCATTTTAATCATTAATGGAATCTTTCGGGATACCGCTTCTGTGCTTTGTGGAGGACTCTTTTGGACAAATGTGATTTGTCTTCTTGTACTTTATTTTGAAACTATCGAATAATATTGATGTGACCCTTGCCTGAATCTTTTACATTGTGTTGTGAAATGAACCTTCCATTTTCTTGGGTTTAGGTGGTAAATCGGGCCAATGAGTTATTATGCTTCACCCCTCACTAGGATGCTTCCTGAGACAGTGGTCTTGTGTGACGGAAAGGCGAGGCCCGGCTTGACCCAAGGTGTGGCAGGTTGCAGGGTCGGGTTTCCAAGTCAGAAATGTGTTGACATGACATAAGAATGCACCATCCTCAGCAGGCTCTGTAATAAGGCGGAAAGGTTATCTTGACCAATGGTTTAAGTATACAGTTCCTTCTCGCGCTGACATACAGCCGGATGACGGATTGCTCCTGGCTTCAGCTTGCTAAAGTCCAGGTCAACCCCTTCTTCCACATCAGGGAATGGTCCTAGAGGCGTGATTGCCAGGGGATTAATCTTGTAGTGGCTTTTAGTATACTACTCGACGATTAGCGTTTGCGAACATTGTGTGATGGCATTAGATCTTACGTTCTCCTTGATGTGTTTAAAGTCTGTTGTCTCCCTGAACCCTGTTACGTTCCAGTAGAGGTTCTTCAACCACTCATGAATGACTGGGTAGTTGCCGCGAATGGTTCCTAGGTTGCACTTGAAGTGTTGGACGTAGACAACATCAAATCGCACAATGGTTGCATACGCGCGAATGTCAATTTCCGTCAGCTCCTTGCCGAGAACATATGGGCCTCCATGTTGATGAATCAGACTCTCGAGTTTGTTGAGAGCAGCGAAAACCGTTGGCACGTTTTCGTCATAGCCCTGTTGGGTTGTGGCAAACCCTGCTTTATAGACACCGCTATTAAGGTCTCGCTGCATCCACTCGCTCACGTTGTCAATTATCGATCTGAGATGAGCTGGATAAAGGTCAAGCTTTCGGGCTGGATCATCTTCCGCCAGGATCGAATCGAATGCGGATGGTAGCCATCGTAAGAGCTCTGCGCTTTCGTTGTTCACGATCTGGCTCTGCTTTCTATCCCAAAGAAGAGGCACGCTGTATCTGCCTTTGTACTCGGGGTCGTCTTTGAAGTAAACTTCGTGCAAGTACTTAGACTTGAAGAGCAGATCATCAGTTGATCCCTCATACGTGTCGTCAGGGGGGCTTGGGAACTGCCACCCGGGCCAGCCCTTGTCATCGCCTTTGGGGTATGGCTTGACGACAGAAACATCAATGACCGACTGGAGCCCCCTAAGGTACCGAACCAGGTTGACCCGGTGAGCAAAAGGGCAAAAAAGACCAATGTAGAGATGGTAGCGCCCAGCCTCTGGAGGAAATTGGCCGCCTGGGCTGATAGTCCCGTGCCACGAGTCTTCTGGTGAACTGTGAATCGACATTGTAGATCCGTACATCCGAGTCTTCTCTGGTGTGTAAAAGCGCAAGTTCACCATAACCCCGCTCGATGATGATATGGATCAAGGTGGCTGAGTAATATCAGCAACCCCATCCAAGAGCCCCGTTACACCAGCGGGTCCCCTTCGCCAACCATTGTTCTTTGCAACACCTAAGGGCGGGATAACGTAGGGAGCATGCACCAATAGGAAATTATTGCTTGTTGCCATCGTGAAGGCGTATTTAAAACGAATGACTCCAGATGAATGGAAATGGCCATGTTCTGCTAAGCCGGGTGAGACCCAGGCGAGCTAATGGCTGCTATTTTGTCGCAACCAAATACGGGCGTGTAGAATTTAGTCAGACATACTTGTTAGGCTTGTCTGGTTAATTCATGACCGACTTCATTAGGTGGAGACAGCCCCCAAGTCCTTAGTCAAGAGACAAGCAAGGAGGTATTCACTCTTACCCGACCTCGTCATATAGATGGTGTGAAGGAGGTCATCAAAGGCTTCAAAGAAGGCTTGCACCTCCTCTCGTAGGCCTTGGCGATGTTTCCGATCCAATGCCTGCTAGAAGCTAAGGAAATTCCCCCGAAAGTGCGACCCATGTGGTTAAACTTGGAAACTGAAATTCAAGCAAAGTCATTGTAATGATAGATGGTCAATTGATGCGGTATACGTCTTGGCAACGATGAGCCTTCTATAATTGACTGACTGAGTATAGCGAAAACAGCAGTGGGACTATGAACTCAATTTTGACCCCTCTGATCGCTATCAGACTTTGAGATGAGCACGCTTACTGCGTCCTTGACCTCATCAAAGTGGCGTCTCAGCATCCATCTCTTCATCTTCGGGGGCTTTGCTACCCCCAGTCTGCTCCTCTTCGTCCGAGTAAATCAGGGGAGGGGGCGAGTCAGTAATGCGAGATCTCAGCTCTTGTCGCCTGTCTCTCCATAGAAGTAGTTGAATAATAGCCGTCTCCAGTACTAGGCGGGATGGTTAGTAAGTAGAGTTTAGCAAAGGAAGGGGATAGCGACGTACAAAGCAGGACTTGCAAGATGCTCGAGTATGTGTACCCCTTTCTAGCAGCAGGAAAATCTGTAGTTTTCCACATAAAGTTGGGCATCTTGACATGTCAGCAGATGCTTGGAAGAGGGATAGATCCAACCAACTATAGCCTGAACGGCATAAGCCAAATCGTTTGCAACAGCGACCAAGAGCGCGCGTTTCTCTGTATCAGCCGAACAGATTTCATTGATCCAGCTAAGGATGAGCGGTCCCGCGCCGTGCTACAGTCCGGTCAGGTAAGCCGTTTGAGAGATGAGGTCATACGTACACCGATGTGACTGAGCCAATAAACGACCATTCGAGAATCGATGTCGGAGTAAAGTGGCATAGACAGAAACAAAAGGTTAAAGACGAGCTAGGGCAGATTTAGTATTTAAAATCTAAAGCTGGTTGGGAACTTACAGTAAGTGCTGCCCCGGCGTAAATAAAAGGCCATCTTTTCCCCTGAAGAGGCCCATCGGAAGTCCAGGCCCAGGCAAGTGCCATAAGTATAAATATCGCGGTAGTTGGAATGGGCACTGCATTACGTTTAAATTAGAACCAAATTCCTTCAAAGAACGTTCTGCATGATCGAGGAGACTAAAACTTACGGCTATTGATCTCGGGGACGGAGAAAGATTTGCCTGGCATTGGTGGCGGTTGGGCATTGAAGCTCTTCAGCCAATAGCCCATAGCAGCCTGAGGATTTCCGTTATTCCAAAGAATATACAGCAGCGCTGTCAAGGCTCCTAGTCAGTCTCCGTGAAAAGAGTTTTGGGTGGAATGACATACGAAGATGATAAGTGTGCCAGCTCCGTAGAGTCTTTTTCACCTTGGCCCTCGTCCAAGGTTGCTTGCCAGCTCTTCCAATTGCCTGCATGCGTTTCACCGATAGGATATGCTCTTCCTCAGTTGTCCACCAGGTTCTCTTCCCATCCTGCGGAAGATTTGGGAAGAAGAAGTACCCGGCGACTGCAAGGGGCAGTGTGATGATTCCATCAATGATAAAAAGCCAACGCCCTATAATATAAGCCAATGATTAACGCCGGCCTTGCTAGAGAAAGCTCTTGGAAAGCCCAAACTGTTGAAATACAAACGAAGTGTTGAATGACTTACAGCCTGCACGACCATGCACTCCATCGAGGTTTGTGTATGCAGCAGCCTGAAGAAGACCGCTAAACATTGACCCAATCGACCCAGCTATCCAAAACAACATGGCCCGTTTTCCAATCTCTCGGGGAGTGTACCATGATCCCAACATGTAATGAATCCCTGGGTAGAACCCTGATCTGAGGATGGAGTCAGCGGCTCTCTCCAACCCAATGCGTGGCGATAGCCAAATCGTCGACTGTCGGAGTGGCAAGGTCACTCACTCGAAGAATCCTACGAAAAAGCGCAACGCGTAGAGACCACGATAAGATTGAACAGCTGAAGTGCAAATGGTTGCGATCCCCCATCCAACTTCAAGGGAGGGGATGACCCATCGTGGTGAGATTCGAGTAAGCAACAAGTTGGATGGAATTTGACCGATCACATAGCCAATGGTCCAGATAGAAGTGCCTATCCATGGAGTCAGCGACGGCGGAGTGAAAATGCCATAGAGATGGAAGTTAGGTGGCTAAGGCAGAGGATGTACTCACTGGTGACGAGCTGATTTCCATACATCTCAAGGTCCTCCTCCATACCGCTCAAGAAAGCATTATTGACATTGGTTTGGTCGATGTTCTTCAAGAAGTAGCCTATCGAGGCAAAGGTGAGGATAAACGCGTCAACTTTGAAGAGCAAGCGGCGTTGATCTGGAGGAAGCTCCCATGTGTCCCAAATGTAGCCTTTCCACGTTTGAACTGGTTTGACGACGACTTCATGATGGGTATTGTCCGGATGAGCTTCTACAAGGGGTACATAGCCCTCTGAGCTCCGACCCTGAACTTCCGTCATGACTGAGAGCGGTATAGAAAAGTATGAAGTGTCTGGAAGCTTATCTGTATTCCTTTTGTTATTTCTAAGAAAGAGGAGTTTAATTACTGAGCGCGACCGCCATGGACAGCGTTGTACTGAATCAGGTGGTCGCCCTATGCGCTCATCATTCCCACTAATCGCGTCAGTCAACTGGCCTCATGCTATTGGCTCCCTGCTGTCATCTGAACGACAATGTCGCGCTTGATTACGAAGCAACCTGGTCAGATGCGACTGATGTGTACCAGTTGGCGGATAATTGTTATAAAATATCCGGTGCATTATTGCTGCGTTGGCGGCTATTGAGGTAGGTTGCTAGAGTTCTAGCTATTGAGCCTATAGCGACGTAGTCCAACGCCAGACTCACTGATTGCCAGCCAAAAGAGTAGCTCCGAAATTCTTAACCTCTTTCCTTTTTGTGTAGTTTTTTTCCTTTCTGTCTCGCAAGGTTTGGTAGAAAGGCATCTCCCAACTCTGGGAACAGGAGGTTGCCCTTCCGTCTCTTCGTAGAGAGGCCTACCTGTCTCTATTTTAGGTGAATTTTCACATGATAGGCCTGAAATTCTTATGGCTTCCATCGAGTGAAACGTGATGGTTATGGATTAAGTTGGCCGAGGGTCATCGAAAACATTTCATTGAAAAGGTGTAGGCAAATCTTTGCAACTTTGATGTGACGCGCACACCAACACTGAGCTCACTGCGTCATACTCTTCTAGAGATATCAGACGTATCCGACGATAGCCAAAAAGACCCTCTCAGGCGCTAGGGTCGAGATGGCCACATCCAGCTATCGGAATTCCGCTTGTGGCCTCTCCAGACCGCGTGAAACGTGCTGATTGTGCATGTGCCTTGTCGAACGCGGATAGGATTTCAAGACTGCGTATAACAAACAAGAACCTCTCGTACAGCTCCATATTTTAAAGCCGCAATCGTTATGCAATGCACTATCCTTGAGAGATGAATGTCCATGTATAATGTCCATATGAGAAACCCGCACTCATTTTTTCTAGCATTTACTTTGGCAGTGCTATGTGAACTCTCGTTTTTACCAACATAATGCTACCTCAGTTGTTCATCTTATGTGATGGTGTATCCTCCGTCGACTCGAAGGTCTGCACCAGTGACATACGAAGCTGCATCTGACAACAAGAAGGTGACGGGGCCCATCAGATCTTCAGGCTGGCCCATCCTGCCCTGCGGAATGAGAGACACCCAAGTCTTCTTAAGGTCGGGGTTATCGGCCAGAATCTTTTTCGTCCTATTTTTTGTCAGAACCAACCAGGTTTAGAAGTACACAGTGAGATTTACAGAGCCGTTAGCATATAGCCAGGAGAGATGCAGTTCACGCGGATTCCAGCGTGAGCCCATTCGACGGCCAATGATGCGGCAAGATGCCTGACCGCAGCTTTCGCTGCGTTGTAAGGGCTGTATTTTATCACGATTAGTTCGTGAGAAACAGTTAGGTCATTGCCCTGTCACTTACGCCTGTGGTTGAGGGACGTTCACAATCGCTCCTGACATGCTACCAATGAAGACGATACTTCCAGGAGCCTTTCGCTCCATAAGATGCTTGGCGACGGCCACGGCGAAGAGATAGGTGCCGTCCACGTTGACACCCCAAAGCTTGCGCATTCGGTCAATTGGATAGTTAATGGCGTCAAAGTTTTCTGTGAATCCGGCCGAGGTTACAAGACCATCAATCTTTTGGTACGTGTTGAGAATCTCGCGAATGCACTTGTCCACTGACTCTGGCTTTGAGACATCTGCGTAGTGCGCCGTGACTCGGGGCAGTCTAGTTTCGATGAGTTAGGTAAATACGCCATGAAACAGCTATGAAAAAGCTGACCTCTCGCATCCCGGGTTCTCCTTTCTGAAAGCATCAATCAACTCATCGACTTGGGACTCTGCTTCATCCTCTGAATGACGTTAGGAACCCTGTGACCGACCACTCTCTTGGATATGAAGCTCACTGTTCAAGTCGACAATTGCAAGATCAGCTCCTGAGTAAACACACCCTTGGCCCATGACCAGACCCAGCCCTCTTGCACCTCCTGTAATCACGATCACTTTGCCTTCAAGAGAGAGGGACGCCAATGTCGGCTTGGAGAACTGTCCTCCCTGTCCGATCACCGGCTTGCTAGATGGGAGCTCATGGTGTTGTGGGTAATCGACCTGGACGTCTGGGTCCGTGCGAGAAAAAGAAAGAGTTCTCTCAGGAATTGGGAGTGGGGGAGGAACCATTGTGTATCAATTGATCAATAGTAGAGTGGAATTGAGGATGGAATTGAGCACAATGCTCCTGGAGGCAGAGGGGGCGGAAACCGCCTTATACCTATTGCCACCCTCCTCCCACCCACCTGTAAAAGCATGCAACTTCTCGAGCCCTAACGCGTGTCTCTCAACATGTTACGATGTCTGTCAAAGGCACGACTCGGGTCTGTTCCAAACACCCACGCCACGCTAGTGGCAGTCACAAGCCCTCACAGCATTGACCGCTGACCCAGTGTAAGAGTTCAAGTTTCCAAGACACTTTCATGATGCTGACGAAGAAAGGTGCCCAATCCCAGGTTCCTCACCGGATGGGAAAATACGGCCATGTTTGTTCGACAGAGCCGATTGGACATGGAATGGCGGTAAGTTGGCCAAGTGATCGTCGATAGTACCCCATACAGTATGTATTGAGTTTGGGGTTTTCCGGTGAGGCCAGGTCTGGAAAAAGGGGAACCGGTAAGCGAGATATCGACATGGCAATCAGTGGCCCACTTTGGTGTCTTGTGATGGTCTCTTTGGCGAGTCTCGACAAATGAAAAGATCCACCCCCACGGTGCCCCCGAAGTCGCTTGGTCACGTTGGCAGTCAGACATTTCCTCACCATTTCTGTGCTGTTTCCTTATCGCGGGCTCTCCGTGCTTGGAGATCTCCTCATCGGTTGAGTTGACAATATCAATACCGTCAGTTAGAAGCTTCACAACCCCAAACATAGAAAATTTTCGTAGTCAAGTTAACGTTTCGGCATGACATCACTTCCCGGTGTGTGTTAACGATAGACCAGTCAAAAGAGTGAGGTCTTTCACTAGGAGCATTTGAGTTCACCTGGATCTATCTCTCTTTGCTTGAGTGAGGCTAAGCTGTTCAGTCTCATATGAGCTCACAAAGGTGTTTTTAACGCAACTGCGGCTCCCTCACTCATGTCTTTTTCGTCGCTAGACGCAAACTACTCACCAAGCTATGTGGAAGAGCTAGGTACTGTAGGATATAATCATCATACGGAGCCTCTCATACCACATACGACCATACCCACCGGAGAACTCGGGATCCCGTCCGCTCTCCCATAGATAAGCCGGTGAGGGGCGGATTAGTAGTTGGGTCGGTGACGACCAGCGAATCCCCGCTGTTGTATGTTTTTTGCTCCCCGTGGCCCCTGGAGCCTGTACCTCCCCTCGGACGCTGACATACGGACACCTGCATCATTTTTGCTCTCTTATTATTATTCATTTATAGTCGTAGGTTGAGTGGAATATAATCTTTGAGAGATGTCTACGAGAGGGGAATCTTGCCGCCTTGACTCTACTCTCAATGATTAAAAGGTAATTCCATAGATGCTCTCGCCTTGCACAGCCTTCCCTTCATCATAGGTCACACGCCTCCAACCCTCATCGCGTGATGCATCAGCTATCCATTCGACAGTCGGGAAATACCGCTCGTTTTTCTTTACGGTAGCCACAAACGGAGCACCAGAAAAGTCAACGGCCTTGACAGTAAAGTCTGGGGACAATATTGTTAAAAAACAGCGATCATAGAGGCCGCCAGGCTTGGATACTTACAAGTGTTGTCAGGAATAGCAGCGACGACAGGAACCAGCGACTCTAGATCCGGCGTGGGTACGCTGTTGATGTGGGTGATGAATCTGGTGGCGTAGACGCTGTAGAGAGCGGCGGGAGATCCATGAAGCCAGGTCGTGATGTAGACTTGGCTGGGCAGTTTCTTGATCGATTGTACGACGGTTCGGTGTGGCTTCTGAACCGTAAGGCCGCAAAAGTTGACGACGTGGGATGTCTCAAAGTCATCTTCTAGCAGTGTGTCAAGCTGTAGGTTGAGCTGCTTTCCACTGCGAACAATGACTGCATCGACCTTCTCGTGCCAATACATGACCTCCAACTCAGGAAGTTGGGTAATGAGATCGCCATTGAGTGTCAGCAAAACGTCCCCTTCAAGCAACTGGTCTGGGGCTTGGCCAAAAACTCTCTTCACAGTGAAGAGTCGATGCTGCACTGACTTCTTTCCAACCTTCTGGATCCACTCCTCGGCAACACCCATCACGCGGGCTTCCATCATGGTGACAGCCTCAAGCTCGACTGGAAGGCTTCTCAGCTTTGGGATTGTTCCTTGGACGAGCTTTGTGATCACCGGGAGGAGGGCGAGTGAGCCCAGCCCGAAGCTGGTCTCCTCATCGTCATCCCTTTCGAAGACCAACCAAATCGCCTGGATATCACCATTTTCCGTCATGAGGACTCCGCTTGTGCATTGTGCGCTGAGTCTGCTGTCGACATCGATTCGGTCCAGGTTAATTGGACGGCATTTGGGAGGGTTGGGGGGAGTACGCTCAAGGGGCATGACCCTAGTGACTGTTGTCGAACTGTAGACCATCTCCCCGTTCCCGTTGTGTCCAACAAAGAGGGTAGAAGCTCCCTGCGAGATCTGCTCTGTGCTGAGTTTTGCACTTCGTACTGGCGCATCAACGAGACTGGGGTCATATTTGATGACAGCATAGTAATGAGAGGGGTGAAGGAACACAAGCTTTCCTGGGATCAGGACCGAGTCGGCAAAGGTAAGCTCGATATCGCAGAACTTTGTCGGCACAATGTTCCTGGCAACAAGGACTAGGCCCTTGTCAGCATCAATGACAAGTCCCATGCCGCTCTTCTCATGTACAGATTGCCCGTCAAGCAACAAGGCTGTAGAATACTTGACGTGAACAAAGCTCCTCACGACATCGGCAACTGCTCGATGAGGGACATGAGTGAGAGCAGCAAAGGATGCAGTGAGAGGCTTTTGGGGGACTGCGGGCAGTGCTTCCGCCAGAATGTCAACATCCCATGCCCCCGTAGAGTCGTTTCGTTTGAACATCCTCATCTTCCCAAACCAGTGTCGATCAACAGACACGACAGCAGTGTGGAGGGTGTGCCAGTCCCACAAGTATTTGAAAGAAAGGACAACCCGCGCTCTGTCGGGAATCTCCTTCATTATCTCGATAAAGGTTGCGAGATCTGGCGTATCCTTGTAGCTGATGCTCTGGATGAGAATGTCATTGCGAACTGATGGATGGAAAGGGCCGGATTCACAAACGTAGACTCCACGACAAGCAATTGTGTACCTCTGAGCAACCTGATAGGAGAGGTCATGGAATGATGCGCCGCTGACGGCCAGAAAGCGATCAGGTGTGACCTCGTTGAGATCTTGGACCAAGATGTCTTCTTCAACATCCTTTCCATCTCGTTGAAGCAAGAAGTGGAGTTTTTCCCCAATGTTTTCGTCCAGTATGGTGTTGAATTGGAGGAACTGAGTGACCAGTACACCATTGATCTTGATCAAGATGTCACCCTCCTTTATCTTGCCATCCGATGGTCCCTCTGGTAGGACAGTGTGAGCGACGAGCATGTTGTTTTCCCTCGGAAAAGCCTTGCGTGCGATAGTCTCCCACTCGGAACTAAGGCCCAGTCGCCGACACTCGTCGAAAGGCTTGAGCTGGAAGACGCACTGAACTTCGCCTCGTGGGACGGACAGGCCTTGCTGAATCTTGTTAAGAGCGCGCAGCGGGCCGTCAAGAGGGAGAAAGTAGTCGGTGGAGGCACCATCACTTCGACCACCAGCCTGGAGAGCGATTCCATAGCCATCTACGTTGACAACTGGGCTTCCTGAGCTGCCTCCAGCAGCAGAGGCGTTTGCTTGGTAGTAGCAGGTATTGAAGTCCATGTACCCCTTGTACAGCGGAGCATTCCGGTCAAGGCGGCTGATGAAACCTGACAGAATACCAAGTTTTTCACCTCCATCGTTTCCAATGACTTTGATTTCCACACCGACTGTAATAATAATCAGCCCGGACATTTCTTTTCGCTCACTTTATGGTGTCCGCCCTCACCTTTGGCAAGATCGGGCCGAAGTTTGATAGCTGCCAGCTTCATATGCTTGACAGCTGAGGGGTCGAACTTCAGGAAACCAAAGTCGTGCACGGGATCACGGTAGATTGGGAATGCGTCGACCTCTTCTTGGTTGTTGAAGAGAATGTATCCTGTCCACGGCCCAGTTCCAACGACATGTCGATTTGTGAGAACAATTCTTTGTTGAGTTAGCAGCAAACCCAGCCATCTGAGAGTTGAACCTTACCCCTTTTCAGCGTCGACAACGAACCCAGTTGCCTCGCTTGATGCGGAAAGGTTGGTATCGAACGAATACGGATGGCAGAAGCGGATAGAGACAACACTCTCGACCACAGTCTCTATTGCCCTCTGCCATGCTTCACTCTCTCGCTCCGACAAAAGCCCAGACTTGAGCAGAGCAGCACTCTGGACGGCTGTTGACTGGACTGTGGTCTCAGCATCACTCTCGGGCGCTTGCTCTGTTGGCCGTTGATGGTTATCAGTAGGGATCAATGCATCCTTGGGATGCGCCGCCAGCGCCTGATCAATAGTCATCTCCAAGCATGCCTTGCGGGGTAGCGAAACCACTGGAGCAGTAAACAATGGGGAGAAGAGGTTTCTGTTAATGCGTCTAAAGCTCCGCAGTGCGTAATACGTCTTGGTTCAAAATAGACGCTCCAGAGGCAGGGGTCAACGTGCAGAGTCTTTATAGGTTCTTTGTTTCGTTGTAGGTAGTGACTCAGGTGAAGGAGGTGTGGTTGATTGCATCTTGAGCGGGCGACAACGTCAGCCCACAGTTGCCTCGTGTGCAGCCTAGCGGGGAAGAGGACTGCGGGCCTCATCAGCTCCAAGAAACAAAGGGCTGGTTGAAAGTGCAGTCATTGGAGCCAGCGAGCTGGAGCTGTGTGGCCGCAGCAGTAATCTTGGTACCACAAAAGTGGATAATTCTGACACTTGGCTCTCAGGCGGTATGGGAACATGATAGGCTATTGTGCTAGGCAACAATGCCACTGAAATCTGTCCATAAGGGCTAGTGACTTCAGCAACACAAGCATTGGTCAGGTGGCTGTTGTCTTTCAGCCTCAGGGCGACCAGCGAGTCGGTGCGCCCATCGGGAAAACACGGTACTTATGGACTTTGGTATGCCTTGAGCGGCATGGTTCTCGTCTCCAGGGTCCAATAGCCCTATGAAATTGCGTCATATGGGTGGCTGTGCAGCGTCAACGCTACCACCGTCTTACTCCGTTGTCTGTATCATGATTGGCTACATGTCCAAGCACACAAAGCATTCTGTCCTCTCGAATGATTAGAAACAAGTTTCGTGAGACCATCCACTTGAAAATGGAGCAGGCATCACCATGGTGTGCTCCTTGAGTACGATGCCTGAGCTAGCATGATCAACAGGCGTGTTTCGGATGAAGGGTCCGTGTAGCCGTCGCCTGACTAGCCTGGAGAAAGCATGCAGTCTCACTGAACGAAAGAGGTTTTCTCAATGCCCACTGGCGCCCATCTTCTCGCCCCCTATAGTTATAGTTATGTTATCCCTAGGAACCTACTTTCCCTGTCCCATTTTACATTCTTTGCCAATTCTCAGATGCACCCCACATATCATTTTTGGTTGTAACATGCATGCCAATGTGGCAACGTAGGGCACAGAATGAAGCCGGGGAATGTCCCACTCGTGAACGTAAATGAGTTGTATCTAGAGAAGCAATCTACGGAGTCTTGATCCTCTTAGTCGAGAATCCAGGCTTGTTCCCCCAAGGATGTAGTGGCGGCTTCACCTCATGACGGACAGAAACACCATAGCCCTAAATAGTGCGGCGTGCGTGTCCAAACGCATAGTCGTTTCTTCCAACGCGACCATTATCAGTGGCTTAAAACACAAGCACTTGGTGCGTGTTTGCAGCGCTGACTGGGCTACCCGGCTTTCAGTAACTAATATATTAATGACCCAGCAGGCCGATCTCTACACACATGATGTTAGACAACTGGGCATATCTGGTTTGGAAACTATGATATATTTGTAGGAAACCGTCGGGTTTGAACTGGTATGTAGTGCAGAAAGCCAATAACTCTGCTATGCTTTTAGTTATCTGAAGAGTAGGGAGGTTTATTAGTTGTTTTCATGGACGACAAAGGACGACCACCAAGAGCGAGATGCATCGGTTAGACTTTTGTGAACCCAAAATAATATGTTGATTGCCGTATGTAATATCGAAGTCATTTTATTGTTGAGCCTACGGCCTTCTACTCTTCACTCCAAATGCCGTAAATCTGCAAACGCCAGTAAATCAGAGGAATAGGGCCATATAATAGTAAAAGAGGGTCTATGAAGTGCAGCTAAAATTGCTTCAACATTTAATCCAAAGGTTCACGAGCCCTTCTCTCATCAGAATTGTACAGAGGTCGACTACACCTATTCATAGCGAACGTGAGAACCATGACCAAACGCAACTCGTGACAGTAAGGAGTGAAACCAGTTTCTTGAAGGCCTTCAGCAGGCTTTGTAGTTTCCACGCAGATCCTAATCAATAGCCGAGCATTTAAACTAGAAACACGGCAAGACCAAGGCAGGTTAGGTATCGTCAGCCAATCTGAAGCTTCTAGATCTATGAGGAGGTAAGGCCGCGTCCCTTAGCTGCGTTTACTCTACAATTCCCGCCAATTGCCATACTCAAGCAGGTGTTTCTTAGAAGATCCCCAAGTCAGCCGGTCAGCATCAGCAAATCGAATGTGGAGCACCTCTGACCAGGAGATCGGATGTTAAACCGTCTAGACTCACATGCATCATTTGCTCAGTTTCATCTCGTCACCCGTTCCAATACGATTTAAGGCTTTTATCGGTCAAGGAGGTATCCATGCGTACTAGGCTGACTATTTACAGTGGGCAGTTGTCATTGCATTGTGGGTAGGATCTCAATGCGCAATGGGATTGGTTCTTTTTTTGCGAGCTGAAGCTGTATCAGACCATCAAGGAACTGTTTAAGATGCCCCCTGCACGCCCTTTCTTATCCTCCTCTGCTGCAACTTCTTTATCCTTTGTTCTTCGTCCCAATCTGTTCTTTTTAGATTGACAGTAGGCAGTAGTCAAACAGTTGTCAGCATACCGCCAGATCAGTTGCTACAACCCGAGAAGGCAGGCACGGGAGTCTCAATCTCGAGAGACAAGGGATTGGATGAGTCGCCGTCTTGGCCAGGGCATCCACGACCTGTTCCAAGCTCAATTTACGCCTCTATTTGTCGTGCTGCGCCCTATCTGCCACAGCTTGTAATCCCAGTTCCGTTCCTTGGTAGGTTCGCGTGTCCTCGTCTCCAGTGTTACACAGGTTACTCATTTGCTCAGTCCTAGCAGGCTTGGTAACCGGATTGGCCTACCAGCCCATTTCTTCGTACGGTGATGGAGTGCTCGAGGGTATAGCGCTGGCCTCCACCTTTTGGCCTTTTGGTTTCTCCGCTGTCCTTGATGCTTCAATTCGAACCATCGCATTGTTCAAAGCAGAGCGTGGGACCAAGCTTAGTGTAAGTGATCAACCAGACCTCCAACTCAAACATCCACCTGAGGCTTTTATCTAACGTTGGCTTTTTCTCTAATGATTTCTAGACCCTTGAAGTGTTGTTGAGCAGCCAAGCATTGGTCAGCGCCCTCAAAAGCCCGTTTGTCGTTCGCATCTTCACTTTTTGGACTCTCATCCTCGGATTTATATGGGTGATTAGCCCAGCCGGTGGTCAGGCAGCCTATCAAACGGTCCGTCAGACGTCCCTCATCGAAACCAAGATTCACGACTTGATGTACAGCCCTGCAGCGGACATCGGATTACCTTTCAACAGGATACTCTGGGCAAGCAGTTCCAATTTCGGGACCCAGCTTGGGAGGATATATGCCATGTTTAGGGCTGCAATTTCTGCATCCAACGCTATTGCTCAGGCTTCCAACGGATCGAGCCCGACCTTTGATGCTGCGATACGAGGGCTTGGGGGTGCGGATACGGCTATTGCGGCTGCGAGAATGGACCTCTGGCAGAACGTTCGAATGCCTGAAATCACTGACTTACCGGGCTACAACCCAAAAGATCCCTACCGCTGGCTCCACGTTCCGACCGATCGTCTAGTAACGTACGAGTCTCTAGTCGGGGTCCCTGTCCGAGGCATCCCACAAGAAACTCCAGGTAACATCAGCTTTCAGCTTTCGACGACTTATGCAACACTGGAGGTATGTACACTAGACTCTTCTGGCATTAGCGTCATGTCTCTCTTCACTTCCAAGCGCTTTTAAGTGACATTTCACCAGTGCTCTCCTTGGTTCAACACAACGGCATGGCGTGAGAAAACCCCGGAGGCATTGCTTATTCATAGGGCAGTCAACAGCAGCATAACAAACGAAAAAAGGATGGGCAGCAATATCAATGGCTTTCAACAGATCTACATGGACACGCCATCTCCCCTCACCGGCTTCAACTTTTCAACCAAAAACCACACAAGCCAAGGGCCCATTACGCAAGGTGCTTTGGTTTTTGGAACCAGGGGAAATTCAACTATCTGTGACATTGGCCACATCTATGTTGATGTTGAAATCCAGTGCCAGAGAGAACAGCGTCTGGGCCAAATGGTGTGCAGATCCGACAAGATCCGACATTCGCCAGCTCAACCAGCGCCCTTTCCTGACAACCAAATGATAACCAAGGTCAACCAAACTGATCCAGGAGCCCCAGCTGCAGGATATTTTGTTGCATTTCTGCCCTGGATCACAAGCTCCTATCATTCTGGCAACAGTTCTCCGCTCGAGAACTATCTAGCCGACCCAGCACGTGGCATCGAAGGGGACGCTGTGGCGCTCACCGATGAATATACGCGTTTGCCGCTTAAGATCTTCGCTCAACGTCTAGCGATGGCTATGAACACTGCGCTACGCATCTCTTACGATATGCCTTCTATCCTAGCCTTCACCGATCTCAACATCACTGAGTCTACTGCTCTTACCGGCATGGAGCCCAAGTACGGCAGCACAACAGGAAGTTTTACCACAAGCACAGCGGTATACCGGGTCCAGTATAAATGGATGGGGCTTTACATCGCCTCACTCGTCGTGATGAGCGTATGTGCAGTTGCCAACATCGTTCTTAGACTTATAATTCGCGCCCCAGACTTTCTCACAAACGTCGCCGCCTTGACTCGCGACTCTCCGTATATCAATGTCCCTTCAGGGGGAAGTACATTGGATGGCGAGGAAAGATCGCGTTTACTCAGGAACCGGCGGCTTAAGATTTTCGATGTGCACCCTGAGAGGGATGTTGGGCATATTGCATTTGCTGATGACATGGGTCAAACGACAACCAAGAGGTTCGGAGTGGTGGACAGAGTGTATACTTAAACCTCAAAGATATTAGCTCTGGACTTATGGTAGTCTTCAAGGGTCTAGAATAATCTTGTAGTTGCTGGAATAGTCGGTATGAACACGTATGGAGTTATTTGAGAGGAGTTTGGGGTTCATCTGTTGCCAGTGTATCACCAGTCAGGCACATATCAAGATCCTAAACGGTTAGAACGACTCAATTTAGGCGCAGAGTACTTAAGATCCTCTGGCCAATAATTTATTAACTTCTCAATGATGCTGCCATAAATCATTTCTACTCTCAGTGGAAAGTCTGTTTAAGCCAGTCCAGAACATCCTGTCCAAACTCAGTTGGTTTCTCAAGGAGTGCCCAATGCCCCCCTTCTCTTATTACACTCTTCACATTTAGCAAATATCCTGCATCAATGCTAGGCTGCAGTGTGGCTACTCTGCATACGAAGTCCTGCTCCCCGCCCCAAAAGAAGGCCGGCACATTGACTACTTTTGCGTTTTCAAGCACCAGCAAGTAATCAGCCTCAGTCTGCTCGGGCACCAAAAACGCCTTATACCAGCAGCTAGGCGCATCAAAGGTATGTGGCTTTCCGAACCGATCCATGAAATCGTCCTTGTTTTCAGCAGTAGTGAAAGGAAGAGTGGGCTGAGTATGCAAACTTGCGCATTCCATCAGGGCTACATCAGCTCGTGAGCCAGGTATAAGGGTTCCCAAACGCCACGCTGTACTCAGACTCGAGATTCTTTCTCATGAGCTTGGGTGCGTCCTCCAACGTGAAGAAATGCCAGTACTCATATATGCCAAAACCATAGGCCTTCCTTGTCAGCTCGTTGGCAGCATCGAGATCGAACTTCCAACTTGGTGGGATGTAAGAGACGTTGACCATGATAAGCCCTGCTACTCGAGAGTGGTGAAGGTTGTACAACCGCTGAGCAAGAGCGCTTCCCCAGTCATGGCCCGCGGAGATAACGGTGAAGAGTTTCTCTGCGTCGAGAATCTCAATCATGTCGGCCGTCAGATGTTGGTATGAGTACGAAGTGACATCAGTGGGTTTGGAGGTTCCGCTATATCCCAAACAGTCTGAGGCAACAACTCCATAACCATGCGGGATAAGGAAGTTATCAGTGAGGCCTGCCCAAAGGCGTACAGTGTCGGGCCAACCGTGGAAGAGGATGAGGGTAGGCTTGGAGCCCTGTGCGGGGGAAGTGTAATAGGTGTATGTGAAACCACGAGAGACGTCAAGTTTCTTTTGAGTAAGCTGTGAAAGATCCATGATCAGGTTCAAGTCTTTAGGAAGGCAAATCTTCGGAGGGTATATTGGGACTGGTAAGTTGGGCAGAGGAAATGCGTCAGCCTGCACAGTATATAGTTTCACTCACGCCCTCATCCATAGATTGGCCCCAATATCATTCGGTGTCACATTAACGTCTCGTGTGGAACCAGGGGCCTTAATTATAAGTTCTAGGGTGACACGAGGGCGCAAGGTCAGGTCGCTCACGATAATCTCGGCCCCGTAACTTGACGGGAAATCGTTCCTACAGAGGGAGTGATCAGCTTCTGTCCCGCCTGGGGGACCTAATCGCCTATCATGAACCTCCATGGTCCGCCTGGACACATCGGGCTAGATGCGGTGACATACGCGTTTGCGAGGTGCGTATACGAGGGATCTTACATGATGCTTTGCGAGTATTCTGTTACATGAGGATGGTTATCGTAGCGTCTTGATCGAGAGCATTTTCGCAAAACCACCATGCTGTGAAACCTAAAGTGAGAGCCGAGATCCAAGGGAGAGAAAGAAGGTGGATGGTAGGAAAAGAAATAAGTGGAACAAAATGAAGACGGGAGTGATGTAAGGGTTTCGATGAAGGCCAGAGAAGAGAACTTATTATGAACCCCATTACCCATTACCTGGATCAATTAGTGAGCTCATGTTTAGGAGAAATAGTGGGAGATTGATATCAGATCCCGTATCAATTTGTCACTATCATTGAAGAGTGACCACACTGCCCAAATTCCTGCTATGCTTTTGTTTCACACCCTAAGCTTTGTTCTCCTTTCAATGTTTTCCTTTGCGGAAAATGTAGCAAATGGCATAATAGCACCAGCCTCAGTGTGACTCAAGAAATAGTTTATTGAAAGGAAAGGTGTGTTGTTACGGGTGTATCCCATATACAAAGCCATAACAAACATGGCGGAGCCGTGCTCTAGTAATCTCTAAACAGCCAGGCGAACCTTCAACTTGTCGCCTCCAACAATTTCATCTTGCTTGGCCATCAGCTCCGGCAGATCCCAAGTAAGGTTGATATATCGTCCTGCAAGCCACGGTCGCCTTTGAGATGTGAGGAAAACCAACGAATCCGCGCTGAGCTCCGGGGTTTCGACAAAGACTAAAAGCCAGAGTTAGAAACGGTGGACAAGCTCGTGGTCTTGGAGTCTTACCAGGCCGATACACCGGGGGTAGATCGTCGACGCTGCCCATTGTTGTTGGGACGTTGCCGGGATGGATGCTGTATGCCAGAATCCCATCGTTCTCATGCTCGGCACAGATGAACTCTGTTAGTCTCAAGACGGCCAGTTTTGATATCTGATACGCGCTAATGGTGGGAGTCACACAATGAGCCCCGACACTGCAGACGTTGACGATAGTCTTGGACCCGCCCTTGAGGAGCAGAGGAAGCAAGGCCCGCACCACAAGATACGGACCAAACACGTTCACTGTGAGTACTTTCATCCACTCGGCAGGGTCAGATTCCGTGATCGATTGCATCGAAAGAATGGCGGCATTGTTTATCACAATGTCCAGATGTCCGAATGCCTGTTTGACCTGATCTGTCAATGCTTCAACGCTCTCTGGGTTGCTGCAATCGGCCTGAATGGCTAGGATTTCGGGCTCTGGGTGCCCAACCTTGCGGGATGCCGATTTGATTGCTTCAACGTCGGTTTGCATGTCTGATCTGGCGACGATGACAAAACGAGAGGCTCCCGCCTTTGCAAATGATATGCCCATGGCCTGGCCGAGGCCCCTGGATGCTCCAGTGATTAAGACTGTCTTTCCACGGAGATCCGTCTTAGTCGGATCTATGGCTGGGTAAGTGTCACAGTGTACGACAGAAGTCATATCATAGTCGGCTGTGTTGAAGTTAGAGCATTATCAACACATGGGTAGAGTTCGGTGACATACCAGGGCCCTCCAAGGGGTTTGGCGTACCGCGGGGAGGAGGCATGTTGAGTCGCTTAATGATGATGACACTTTACACTCGTGATTTCGTGTTGCTGTGAAAGGTGAGCCCTGACTATTGTCTGAAAGCATCTGTCGCAGCAGGAGTAGTTATATGCCCCAGATCTTATAGATTTATAAGCGCCGGCGGCTTTGCTGTTGACTCTGAGGCCGACGGAAAATCCGTTTCTGTGGCGAGTGCGGGTGGATGGTCATCAGTGGGGGGTATTTGAAGTCACCCAAGTAATAAGACACATCTTTCTCTGGTTGCTCATATTCACATTGCTACACTCCATGGGGTATTTTTATTTAATTATACAGTATCTACCATTCAATCTAAGTCGAAAACGCCAACTCATCCAACGCACTGCTCCAAACGACATCCCCAAACACATCTGCTGCAATACCTGCGTCCATCTGAAGGCCCTGTGGCACAGAAGCACCCAGGTCATACGTCACACCTTCTGTGTTAGATTCTCCCAACCGCAGGTTGTTCCCGGCCTCGTATGTTATAGACTTTGGTACCTCATAGAGGCCAGAGGATTTCTCTCTTAAATATGCTTCATACGTGGCCACTACGGCACCCACCATGCCCGCAAACATTGTCGCCAAATCCATCTGGTCGTCTGCGGCAGATAAAAAGACCGTCAGCCTTTGAATTTTTTGCTGCAGCTCCTTCCCAAGGGATGACAAATGAACCACCCTCTCGACAGCCAGATAGTTACCGGCCGGGATAGTAGTATTGGTTGCATGGTTGTCTCTCGAAGCATTGCTTCCGCTCTGCGAGTCCAACAGGAAACTCGTCGAGTTGGAAAGACAAGACAAGGCTCGACAGATTTTGGCATAAGTGTAAAAGGTGAGAAAGAAGACTTCTTGCTCTGGGCACTTGATCACTTTGTCGATGAGTGATTTGCAAGAAAGCAGCAAGTTCCGGAACATGTTATGCCTTTGGCCAAGTGAGGTTGGAGAGCTATCCCAGAAATCGTGATGAAGCGAAGTCTCCGAAATTAACGTTTCAAGGAGATGAAACTCCAATTGCAATGCAACTACAACGGGATAAATGTCAGATTGTTGCCAAAAAGAGTCCGCTTTACTTACGGTTTTGTTGGAATTCCGGTAACAAGGACCTTTTCAAGCCATTCAACTCGCGGCTGAAGGCTTTCACGGTCACGGTGCTCACGAACTCATCACGGATCTCCGTGTGGTTCAAATCATCATATGCAAATGTGTCACATATGCGTCGGGATAACTCGTTGGTCTGAACGAAGTACGATATCAGATGATCAGTTGGATGCTCTGGGTTCCTGACAAGAATTTGACGAGCACGTTCAATATATCTTGTGTGTGGCATTGCGCAGCGAGTTCGAAACTTGGTGGCAATCCTGACTCATTAGTCCCTGGCCGGACAGGCGGGTAAGGCGATGAGTTCTCACCAAGATGCTGTGCAAAACGTTCCGAGCAGTGCTCGTAGCTGATCAGTCGTGCGTGGAGACCATCTGCAAGACTCCGTCTCGTCTGGTCCGAGGTCAACCTTCCGTTTTCCATTTTCTGGGTTTTGATCCAGGCCGAGATTATGAACAAGTGCCACACACAACTGCCCAAGCTGGACAATTTGTTGTGTCTCTGGTAGAAAGTGGTATTGATACCAGGCCAGATAGACTAGGAGACCCTGCAAGAGCTCCAGGCTACTCTCTGACTCCAACAACACCCTTCTATGTGCCTGTATCCGAACCTCCTCACCGAGTTGCCTCTGCAGTGAGCAGTCCTTAAAGAGCATGGACGTCATGATACAGAGGAACAGGAAGGGACTGTTGAATCTGAGCGAGTTTATATCTGATTCCGCGTCGGGAAGAACGAAAGGGAAATGGTAGACAGCTTTAGTACGGTACTCATCAAGCAGGGTTTGGGCCAGGTCCAGAGTAACAAGGCCCCGATCTATCACATCACGGGGTACCGAGTGTGTTATACCGTGCTGTGGAGTCAATGGAAAAGCGGAGCTAGTGATACCTACAAGGCCGGATAACCCTTGAGGTTGAAACTGCGAGAGCATCACACCCGATGAGCTGTGTGGTTGGTTATTAAGCAAGGACAACAAGGACTCGATTCTTTGCTCCAGCAACTTGACACGACTAAGGCTTCATCAGCATTCCTTGGAATGGAGACACTGTGAGGAAGAAGCTCACGATGTGCCAGATGGGCTCTTTCTCTTATTCAGAACATTTTGATACACACATCTCCTTCCGAGGCGATTGCACCGCTCACACTCCGTGGAAGAGATTGGGAGACATTTAGACTTGGCAGTGGTGCAATTGACGCATGCCCTCCGTCTCAGGCCGACGGTTGTCGGGGCTTGGTTGGCAGACATTTCGATGTTGGAGAAAAATGGTAGATACTGGCGTGGTGAGATTCACCCGAAAGGCTTGTCTCCTTGCCACCCAAGCAATTATTTCTACGTCATCGCATCAGGGATCGGAAGTTCCGCCGGCCAGATTACTCCCGCCCGCTGACGGAGTTAACAAAGACCGGCCCGGGCGGCCTTGAGCGGGCTTTTGCTCCCTTGTCCGCTTATGTCCTCTTACGGCCGTTCTTGGCATTCCTCATCCGTCCATCAATCTCCCATAGCTACCTTGAGTACTTTGAACGTGCTGCTCTCGCTCAAACGATACGGAACTGTTCCCTTAGATCCGTACTCATGGAGCGAATTCCCCGTCGAAGGAGGCGGCCAGCCCTTTCGTGCATTGAGTGCCGCCGCCGCAAGATCAGGTGCGACAGAGCACAACCTTGTCAGCATTGTGTCTCTGCCAAGCTGCAGTGCGCATACAGATTCTACCGCGAGCCTAGAGAGCACACCACGATTGCACAGCAGCCATTGAGTCCATCAACAGAAGGGACTTCACCTATATCACTGTTTCCACAGAGGGTCACCCCTACAAGACAAGTCAATGATGCCTTGAGCCTTCAAGTTACATCTGTCCTAACAACAGACCAGCTTGGCAGTTCACGGCCCAGTGCCAATGGCAAGAATGATGAGAACACACCCGCCAGCTCACATGATGAGGAGTCGCGCATCCATGATCTTCTACGCCGTGTCCAGATACTCGAGGATTCTTCAACATCGAACCCTCTGCGTGGTCTATCCGAGACCGGTCGGACTATTCTTGCTCGACAAGCCGGCTTGCAGAATTCTCAAGTTATCTTGAACAAGACACGGATCTTGAGGTGGAGCCACTGGATGGGCACGGCGCCAGAAGTAGGATACGCATTCCCTGCTCATGCACTGCGACTGTTGCTGACAGGGACAAGTTTAAACCCATCTACACCTGCTTCGTCGCAGCCACCAATAATGATCAAGCCACTCTAGTTCAAGATCCATATCTACAAGCTGAGCTCGCACAGGTTGGCCAACTTCTTCAGAAATGCAAAGACGCAGCAAAGGTGATCAAAACGCGACGGTTAGGCCTGCCGCATTCCGAGCCTACTCTACCTCCCGTCACCCGTCAAGTGGCTGATGCGATGGTATCCCATTACCTGCACACGTTTGAGATAACATACCGTGTGTTTCACATTCCCAGTTTTTGGCTCGAGTATCAGAGATACTGGAACGATCCGGAAACCTCTCCTTTCAGTCTCCGCCTCAAAATGCTTCTTGTCATCGGTATCGGATCCAGCCTTTACGAACACGACGATGTGCCTTCTGGTCTTCGCGATACGGTCTGCCAATGGATCCATGACGCCCAAGCTTGGCTGGCTGGCCCGTTAAAGAAAGACCGCCTCGACTTGTCCGGACTGCAAATCTACTGCCTCACCATCTTGGCCCGCCAAATCTTCTCTATTGGTGTTGATCTGGCATGGATCTCGGTTGGCTCCCTCGTACATCGAGCCATGCAGGTTGGGCTTCATCGCGACCCCAAACATCTCCCTCCAATGTCACTCCTCCAAGCTGAGCTACGGAGAAGACTATGGGCCACCATACTAGAAATGGCCGTTCAGTCATCTTTGGACACAGCGATGCCGCCGAGGATATCCTTTGATGAGTTCGATACAGAGGCACCATCGAATATCAACGATGACGAACTGGACGAGACATCAACAACAATACAGCCCCACCCAAAGACTACTTACACGCAAATGTCTATGCAGCTGATACTCCTCGATTCTCTACCGACCCGGCTTCGGATTCTTCAGCTTCTCAGCGACCTCCACTCGGAACTCTCTTATGTAGACGCGCTGGCACTAAGCTCCAAGGTTTCTGATGCTTGTCGGGCCTATAGCCGCTTCCTGAAAGACAACGAGCATGCTACATCTCCATTCCATCGGAACTTACTCGAATACCTTGTGCGCCGGTTCATGATTCCCTTGCACTGTCCTTTCGCCAGCCAGGCGCATGTCAACCCGCTCTTTCACTTCTCACTCAAGGTCAGCTTGGATGCTTCAATGGCAATCATATCTCCCCAGCCGGATGACAGCTTTGGCCGTCTCATGTCTATTAACTCTGGTTTGTTCCGAGAGGGTCTTCGTTATGCTTTCACGACCATCACCTTTGAACTCATACAGCAGGCTGAGTCGCAGCGGATCGACGGTACGCTAGGACGCAGCTCACAGCATTGCGACTCTTTAAAACAAGCTGTGAGGGAAATGATGGACATATCACTGGAGCGCATCCGCCAGGGAGAAACAAACATCAAAAGCCACATGTTTCTCAACATGATTATGGCCCTAGTCGAGGCCAAAGAGGCAGATCTTCCCCATGAACTCAGGGTTGCCCAAAGTGCAAGGGAAAGCCTGGAGCTATGTTTTGGTCTCCTACAATCACAAATCGGAACACCTTTAGATTTTCCATCTGGTCAGATGGGCTTTGCATCTACAGGTCTTGAAGAGCAAGGAGGATCGATGTTGGATTTTGATCTGGATTTCTTTCTTTCGGATACGGATTTCTCTTGATATGTCGAAGTCTATGTACCATCATTCTCGGCTTCTAAGTGTAATTTATAATTATAATATAGCCGTCTTAGGAGTCTAACCCCAGACCTAATACGTTTCCTTGCCACCCAGCCTCTCCCGCAATCAAATGTCCGGCCAACCATATGCTTTATTTACGATCTATTGTCAAATTACAAGTTCAAGCGGCAAGGATAGGGGCAAAGCCTAGGCGTTTTCTAGTAACATCATGACTGACCCGTTCGGCCGTAAGCGGCCTCGCCTTGTCAGTATCCGCCTCCGGACGTAAGCGGTCCAAGCGGAATCCCTATTTAACCCAATATCTGCACACATCACATCTTGGCACTCAAAAAACTGCATCTCAATCCCTGTCTTTTGCTGTATATCCCGGTACTTGCCCCTGTTACGGTTGTCGTTCTCTCATTCGGCACATCCACTCAGCACTCACTCCCCTTGCCCATCAAGAATGTCTCGAATCAAAGTCCTTATCAGTGGTGGAGGCATCGCCGGCAACGCTCTGGCCTTCTGGCTCTCAAAACTTGGGCATGATATCACCGTCGTCGAGAGATTTGCCAACCTGCGCACCAGCGGTCTCCAGCTGGATCTCCGAGGTCATGGTGTGCAAATCCTGAAGCGTATGGGCCTTGAGCAGGCATTCCGAGCCAAGCAAGCGCCCGAGGAGGGCATGCAAGTTGTCGATGGCTCCGGAAGACGTCGGGCCTTCTTCCCTGCGAACAAAACGGGCAAGGGTTTACAGGCATTTACGACAGACTACGAGATCATGAGGGGTGACCTAGTCCGACTAATCCACGACGCCAGTAAGGATCGGGTCAAGCACATCTTCAGCAACTCAATTGAGAGTATCGAGAATGGGCGTGACTCGGTTCAAGTCCGTTTTTCAGATGGCAAGGAGGATCGATATGACCTCTTGGTTGGTGCTGATGGCCAGGGATCACGCACTCGCAGAATGATGCTTGGATCCAAGACCAATGATGGATTTTACCCTCTAAAAGGCGACTTCGTGGGATACTTCACATCCCCACGGCCCATCAAGGAGGGAGAAGAGTACATTGCCACAATGTACATTGCGCCCGGCAGGCGGGGCATCATGACCCGGCGGCACCGTCCTGACGCCATTCAGGTATACCTTTCTTGTACGACAAACTCGAAGCGGCTCAACGAAGCACGCCAGGGAGATGTTCTAGAAGAAAAGGCGGCATTGACAGAAATCTTTCAAGGCGCTGGCTGGCAGACAGAGGAGCTTCTAGAGGCTCTACAGAAGTCTGATGACTTTTACTGCCAACGCATGGGCCTTGTAAAGCTGGACTCTTGGTTTCAGGACCGGATAGTACTAGTAGGGGATGCTGCCTACTGCCCGTCAGCAAACACTGGAATGGGTACAACCTCCAGCATCGTGGGGGCCTACGTCCTGGCCGGTGAAATCGGGAGGCACGTCGGGGGCTCCATGTCCACGGGAGAAGACGCCAAAGCTGGTCTCACTGTGGCGCTCGAGGCCTACCAGGACAAGTTTCAGCCCTTCATGAGCCAGGTCCAAAAGGGAGTCCTTGAGGATACGAATGATTTTTGGAAACCATCCTCCCCTTTCGGTATCGGGCTGATGAACTACGCTCTTGGGGCCGCATCTCTCCTCAAGTTGGACTTGCTGAGCAAATGGATTCTCAGAGAGGATGTCAAGGGGTGGGATCTCCCTGAGTATAAGGAAATACTGCAAAAGTAGATCAGGATAGTCCATGTACGTTAGTCAGTCAAGCTGTATACCAATTCTTATTCGCCTGTAAACACAGCCAGTACCAAGTCGCACACATTTCATCTATTGTGATTCAGGAAGCCATCAAGACCGAGTTCCTTCAGACCATTGCATCGATAAAGAAGTCTACAAGTGCCAAGCAACGCAATCATTGTTCGCTCTACTGCCAAAGAGATAAGACATCTAGTCTAGCCGAGTATTACTACACAAAGACAAACATGCTCATAAGCCCTCATCGCAACTCTCATCTAGAGCTCAAATCAACCCTTCACGAAATTCTGTCATCCACACTTGTTCGCCCTCTTGGTCTCAGCCTCTAGCTGCACCTCTGTTCCGAGGACCCCCATGCTTCTGCCGAGGCCGATCAGGGACGGTCACCAAGCCCTTGACACCTCTCAAACCCATCTTTCCGGCTGTTGTCTTTGCGATCGAGGGAGTATCAGGAGATCCAAGCCCCTCCCTGGCGTAGACGTTGGCTTGTCTCACCAACTCAACCTTGTCCCATTTGAGGTTCTTGAGGTAGTTATTATAGTAACCAAGCCATGCCTGGTAGATCCGCGCTTTGTCATCCTCCTCCATCTTCTCGGCAATGCTCAGTACTTCCCCTGCCAGGGACAGGTCAGGCTCTCGAGGGCGCAGGGTGATTTCCTTGAGAGACCATTTAGGGAACCAGGCCTCTGCGGCCGAAACGATCAGAACGCCTCGGCCATCAGCGTCGGCGCGTGCTGTTCGTCCAAGACGATGGATATAGCTTTGCTTATCAGCAGGAAGACCGACCTGGATCACAGTAGTGACGCCCGGGAAATCCATTCCACGAGCAACAACGTCTGTAGCCACGAGGATGGAGCTGCTAGAGTCGCGATATTCGTTTGTGATTTTGGTGCGTTTGTTCTGTGACATCCGGCTGTGCAAGACGGATACTGGAGGCAGTCCTGGAAGGGCAGAGAGAATTTGACCATAGAAGTCGGCGAGGGCAGCAGTTGGAGCAAACAGGATAGCTTTGAAAGTCCCACTTTGAGCGGCCTCCTGACGAACGCAGCCTGCCATCGCGGCCGCAACGGCTCCAAAAGTCGGCACCTCGACAAGGAACTGGGGAACGCGCTCGTGAGTGTTGACTTCACCGGCCGGGATGGTCGAGATGAACTTGTAACCAGGAGCCAGAACAAGGCCAGCCACCTGCTGAACGTGGGGGGCAATGGTCGCGGAGAAGAGCATGCCTTGTCGGTTTGTATCCTTCTTGTCGGGAAGACGGTTGACAATCTCCCTGAGATCCTTCATGAAGCCCATGTCGAGCAGCCGATCAGCTTCATCGAGCACGAGGCTGTTGACGTTTCTCAGCGAATAGACGATTTCTTCGTTGGACAAGTGATCCAAGAGACGGCCAGGAGTGGCAATGAGGATATCGCAACCACTGAGGATCTGTTTCTCTTCGCGGTCCTTGTTCGTGCCACCGATGGCGATCTGGACGCGATAGCGCGGCAGTCTCTGGAGCAGCTTGGTCGCTTCAGTGGAAATCTGCATGGCCAGTTCTCGAGTAGGGGAGATGACCAGGAGTGAAATGCCGGCGTCAACAGGTCGATTCTCTGTAAGCATGGTCTGGAGAGCTGGGAGCAGAAAGGCCATGGTTTTGCCTGTTCCTGTCTTGGCCTGGACGAGGCAGTCGCTTCGGTTTGGGGGCAAGAGCTCATCCACGGTAGCAGCTTGAACTGGTGTCATGAATTCAAAGCCCATATCTTCTGTGATGGTCCGGATGACCAAAGGGTGCACCTGGTTCTGCTCCAGCAGTCCATCGAAGCGACGGGTGCCGAGCGGAACGGCTTGCTGGGGTTGGGGCTGAGACGGTTGGTCGACAGCAGCAGTCTTCTTCGCCTGATGCTGTGAGCCTCCAGCAGAGGAAGAGGGCGCTGGTCCTGCAGGGGGGTTGCCTTGGCCACGGTTGGATGAGCCGTGGCGAGGCCCTCGCCGATTTCCGCGCCGACGGCCGGCGCCATTCTTGTGACCATCCATCGGGTTTTGAGATCTTGTGGCAGTCGTATATCCTTATAGAAAGACGGTATAAAGGAGTGCGACAGTCTCCAGTGTTGTTGCTGAAGAGCGATCAAAGGTTTATATCAGCCCTTGGTGGTTGTTGATGTTCCTGGATGCCTGAGAATCGCAGTTTTTTTCTTTGATGGGATAGATTGCGCTAGGCTTGGTTCAGCAGTAGATTCTAGGCCACACAGGGCTTAGATCGGCCCCGCAGTCAAGGCACCCCGGTCCTCTTTAATGCAGGGAGAAATGGGGATCAAAGGGCGGCAGCTTCGTGATGAGAAAAGAGAAGACAAAGAGTTCGTGTCAATAGGAGAAGATGGAGCGACGCTTGCACATTCTTTGTTGAGATCTTTCCGTGGTGAATGCCATCGCCCTGTGTCGGGCAGTCGGCCAAAGGTCGGGCTGGCTGCTGACTGTTGTGCTGCACGGACCAGTTCTACGTACCCAGGCTGTCGTGCACGTGCTTTCCATGTGATTGCCCATCTCAGAAGCTCATCTCACAAGCTCATTTCAAGTTGGGCACGACTTGATGACCTGTTCCAATTCATGTCATCTAATGTGATTTAGTACCAATATTAGAAACAAAAGACACAGTCAAGAAATTAGCCTTTTGGATGACTCAACGATTCATGTGGCATGCGGAGTTTACCCTTGCGTCAAGCCACGCATGTTAAGCTACCTACCCTACGGCTTCTTTGTTTCTTCAGGAACGCTGCATAACGTTGGTGGTGAGACTGGATCTATAATTAATACAAGACAGCTTCTTTTTATAGTACCAATACACATTGAAAGAACCTTCAACCTTCAGGTCGGTGTCAGATTTTAGAGCCATAAGGCAAGGATTTGAGTTGAGGGGACATGTCATTCTGTCGCGTCCAAGCACGAGCAGTTGGCATTGAGCGGTAAACTCAAGTGAGGTATTAGTGTGATAATTGCTTGGTTTTGAGTAGTGCGAGGCGCCTTAAGGACTGTGACCTTGCAACTCTGGTTCCTCAAATCTATATGTCTATTGGTATATACTTCTCCATACTCACCAGTTCCCGTTCAGGTCATGGGCTACAGGCATTAAACAAGGAAAAATCTTTCGTCTATCTGTCAAGACTAGGACCATGGGACTATGTGGTTGGTCGTACGTATCTCCAAGCCAGGGGATTAATGGAATATCTAGTTTAGCAGCAAGGTTGGCTCTTTGCTACACCAGTGTTCTTGGTTATACAGCTCATGTTGATATGGGACTGTTCTGCTTTCGATGCTTAACTTTCTGACTGTCAAGACATGTGTACAATCGTATGATGATCATGAATTCGACAAGGATTTTGCTGTCGAGTTCAATGCAATGCTGATTGACAACACAACATGCTCAAGCATGTGCATGGGTAGAATATTAGGAAAGCAATACATTTCTTCAATGGCGAAACGTTTGGATTCATTGAAGAATGCAAAATTGACAACCGCAAGGTCTGGTTTTGCTGCTCCTACCGTCGCCCAAATGCCTTGTTCTGAGCGCCATGCACCACTAGCCTGGTCACGAGTCGACTGATAAAAGTTCATAGGAGATTATGGTACTATGCAGGATGCCACACTGCCTTAGTGGGCAATATCCATGGCATTCAGTTATTTCTTTTGCCGTATTTCATAGGTACGAAACTGACCCAACGAGCCCTCTGTGAGGGGGGCAGTCCCTACTGGTATCTTAACTCCTAAGCCCCCGAGTGATCCAGTACCCCTAAGCTGTCCTTCTGATGTCAAGCGTATATCTGTTCTATGAAAAATGCAGTTTTCCGCTGAAGATGGTGTATGGAAACCTCAAAGATAAATGATGCCGGGAGGCTGAAGCTAGTGGTGCTTGAAATACAAGGAGCTACGCGTTGCATGCTCCGGAACGAGACCTAATTTATTTGACCAGTTGATTTAATCTTGAGATAGCATCGAAGAAACGGGTTCATCCTCTAATGGGAAAAACGCGCGTTACTGTGTGAGGCAATCGGTCGGGTAGCCAAGCTTACAAGACTGATGATATGTGTGATGACAGACATCACGCCAAATTTGGGTCTAAATGTTCAAAGTGCACACCACTTTGGATTAAAGATATCCTAAATGACACGATGTTGGTCTTGGGCTCACTTGGCCATCCATGAAAGGGGCCTGTGCAAGGACTACTCTGGCGCCAAAGCCTTGGAAAACGCCATCCTGGCAGGTGAGGCAACGAGCCACAACATGAGGGCGCATGAGATGCATACGCTCAGCTGGAATCCAGCCGGGGCTTAGATTACGGCGGTGCCAGATTTGGGGCTTGCCGAAACTGCCAACAGGCATGGCTGCATCAGCAGGATTTGTGACCGAAAGGCATATGAGAGACGCAGGGGTTCTCGGACGTTCTGTCAGTCCATCTTGACCCCAGTCAAAAGTTAGAGGGACGTCTCAGCTCTGAACTAGGACGTCCGCGGACACCGTGAGCGAGCGCTCGGAAAGACCTCGCAAGCAGTGGAGCGTATCTTTGGTTTGACTGTGGGGGTCCGAGGCTTGACGAGCAGATACCAATCCGCGTATAAAGATCGGTGCCGAGGCTGTGCAAGGGTTTTGTAATCGAGCCCCGTAGTATCGCCATCTTTTGTGGTCTCGCAAATACGCCTTGTCGTATCCAGTCTCGGACCTGAACGTGATTGAAGTCTCTGACCCGAGCGTTGCTACCGGATCGTCCACAGCAATTACAGCAATTACAAGCCTCGTAGGAACCCTGTAGGCAGTTGCCAGGCCTTGCACCCTCAGTCGATATCCAGTGTCATTCCCAGTGGCGTTTCAATAGGCGTAGACGTGGTAGAGAGGCTTTTGGTTGGTAAAGGCACATTCATGGCGGCTTCGTTATTGAATAAACTAAAGATGACGACATCTTCCTAATTAGATATTACTTCCAAATCACTAAATCCCCCTCCTTATGTCAACTTGGTGTTCTTCATCTCATCGGTGACAGACACGAGCTTGGTGACGCCCTTGGTGGTCTGTAGCAAAAGGTAGTTGATCACGTTGAGCCCCAGGACCAGCCCGATGGCACCCAAGCTGAACCAGATCCATGGACGATCTCCAACCCACATCAGGGTCTTGGTGTCTCCATGGTGCCAAGAGCAGCCCTCCAGATCGGTGATGTACGGCTCCAGTTCGGTTGCGTTGATGACTTGAATTGCTGGCGTGGGCAGCGATGGTTGGTCGAGCAGCCAGTTCTTGATGATCATACTCAAGAAGAAGGGTCCGGAGCCAATCATGATGGCGGCATGTGGCAACAGCTTGGCCCAGGGGCGGGTGATATCGTTGTAGTAGAGGAGTTTGGAGATGGTGGCCAACAAAACAGGGTGACCAGCGGACGAGATCATCAGGTCGTTGGAGACACCAGTGGGAGTTGTCGACTTGAACACAGCGTGGTGCGTCTCGCCATCAGCTTCGAGCTGCTCGAAAGGAATCGTGTGGTTGCAGTTGGTGTCCATGTCGAGGTAAATGCCTCCATAGTGGTAGAGGACAAAGTAACGAATGGCATCGGCGCGCTGGATGGGGAATGTATACTCGTCCCAGGTGTCTAGGAACCATGAGTATTCGGCCTCGATGAAGTTGCGAGCAATCTCGTCGGTCCAGAGCTGCGAACAAGTTAGCACCAAAACAATCTGGGCGTTGGCGGTCGGGCGGGCGGACCTTGTACTCGAAATCCTTATAAGCCTCCTTGCAGGTCTGCTGCGAGTGAATCCATTTCTCAGGGATCACATCGGTAGCGATGGTCTGGTGGAAGATGCGAGGTATCGTCTGGGGTTGCTGGGTCGGCTTGGGCGAAGCCGAGGGCGCAGTATCGAGGGGGAAGGTGAGGCGGGCGCCAAACAACTCCTCATTGCGGAGGAGGAGAGTGATGAGGGGTTCGAAGAGGAGGACGACGAGGCTGACGATGATAACGTCGGTGAGAAGCAGTAGAGCGGCGTACTTTCTCGGTCTGGGCAGTCGCAAAACCTTTCTCGGCCAGGCCGACCAGCGAGAGGTAGATCCTCCCACAGATTTCCCCCAGTCGAGGCGCTCTTCGTCGTAAGAATCGTCGGCGTCAACATTGGCCATGAGGGGTGCGGCTGAAGGGCTGGCCGACCGGCCTCGGTTTGGTGAAGTGGCTGTCATCCTGGGCAGTTGAATAGGCGACGGCTCATTGGGCGACACACAGATACAGAGAGGGAGAGAGAGTAAAAAAAAAAAAAAGATGAAATGGAAGGGAGGGACGGACAGTCGGAACTTGGCAGAGGTGCGCGCGCGTGCGATGGTAATAAGCTTAAATGAGAGAGGGACGCACGCAGTGTTGGGCCCCTTAATTGCGCAGCCCACCCAGTGTGAGAGAGAAGGCGAACGGAGTTGGGACGGGAGGGTGAAAAATCTCTTGCGGGCTGTGTCTGGGCGCAGTACAGAAGGTACATGTACCTAGCGGGCTGGCGCATGCAGTGGCTACAGGAGGCAAGAAACCGCGGAAAAAGCCTGCGAAAAGCCTGCAGCAAACAGCCCGCCCCGAATAGCACAGCGCTGCGCTGCCATGGTGCACCCCGACCCCGACGGACGGATTAGCGTCCAGTGAGACCACGCGTCAAGGACTCAGGGGCACCGCGCGTTCTGTTGCATTGTACGGAGTACAGTAGTGGCTGGATTGGCCAATCTGCGCTGAGGCCTCGGCAACTGCTGACTGGGGAAGAGAGGGTGGGCAAGTTGAGTAGGTCTCGACGAGGCCCAGTGATAGCGACGTCGAGGGAGCATCCTACGTCAGACAGAATCTCTGACTGGCCAGTGATTGGCGATGCCCTTCATTTCAGGGGCTTACAGGGTCCACCTCGAGATGCGAATCAATCTCTTGTAATGACGCATCGCTTCACCACGTAATGAGAATCGCGTGTCACAGGCCCCGAACCAGGCTAGAGCTGGTCTCTTGTCTTATCACCGGGGGGCCCGCTAAGCCCCCCTAGCAAGCGACCTACGGGAGTGTCAAATCTGTTTGTTGCTTGGGTGCCGGCCAATTCTTTTCTCTTTTCTTTCTCCGACCCGACGACTTGCATCCTTTTTGAGTCGGTTGTTGGTTGAAGCTATTCGTCTGGTCTATCCTTTTTACCCTTCTCTCCTTTGCATAGTCTAGACCGAATAACTCAACTCAACTCAACCGAAAGCATGGCGGAAAAGGCACCAGAACAAGAACAGCCCGATGTTGGCCAGCCACAGTTTGCCTACCACGCCGTGGTGGAGCCTTTCGTACGTGTTTGTTCGGCCTCGACTTCGCGGCTCAATTGCTAACAGGGCGGGCACGTGTGCGTGCCGTGTAGATGATTGTCGGCATCATGATTGCGTCTTGCTATTTCAACCGACTTCGGGGCTATTCAATCTCACCCTCAAACCAAGACGAGGGCCTCCTCGGAAACGCAAAGCTCGAGCCGCGTGACCAAGATGACCTCTTTGACGACTCGGACAGCTTCGATGAGGCTTCGCCCTCGCTGACGCCCGCAGCGGCCACGACGACCGACTCGCATCCTCCCAAGAAACGATCATGCTGCGGCACCATCGTCCATACGCCAAATTCCTCGCGATACGCCAACTACCCCCATAGCCGCTTCTTACAAAAGTTTCCCTTCCTGGTTGAGATGTTCTACTGGGCCATCAACCTGCTCTTCTACGTCAGCATCAAGGGCATCAGCGGCCTCATCTTTTCCACCGATGGAGTGTGGCAGATGGCTGAGGGCCACGGTATTGCTATCCTGAACTTTGAGCAAAATGGTCCCTTTAGCTTCTTGTTCCCCATGCGCGAGGTTGCTGTGCAAACCTTTTTCAGAGAAGGCCACCAAACCATGTTGACGATCCTGAATCGGGCCTACTCTCTCATCCATATTCCCGTCACTGTTAGGTACGTGATAGCTGTGTCCCTCTATGGAGAGAAGTCATTCTAACGCTCGATAGCTTCCTCGCCTGGTACTACTATGCCGCGCCGACCCACGCCCAGTTCGCCGCCGCTCGCCGCATGATGAGCCTTACCAATATTGTTAGCTTCTGCGTCTTTACAACATATCCCTGCATGCCTCCCCGTCTGCTGCCCGAAGAGTACGGCTTCTTCGATACCGTCCGTCACGAGGACGCCGAGTCCATCTACGCTACCAACCAGTTCTTCAACCAGCTGGCGGCTTTCCCCTCGCTGCACTTTGGCTACTCGTTCTGCATCGGCACCGTTCTCATGTACCACTCTGGCATTTTCCGCCGCCGCCTCGCTCCCCGCGAGAAGCGCATGTCCAAGGCCTGGCAGATCTTCTTTGCTGTTCTGAGCATCGTGTACCCGTGCTTTGTCCTGACAATCATCGTGGCAACAGCTAATCACTACTATCTTGATGCGATGGCCGCCACGGGCGTTGTGGCCATTTCTTGGCTTTGCAACCGCTATCTTCTGTATCTTCTTCCCCTGGAGGATGTCTTCCTCTGGTGCGTCAAGCTGGAGAAGCCTGTTCCCACCACTGGCAACCGCCGAGGATAGAGGGTTTCGATCCAGACACGGCCTCCCTCACGAATATAGTTGGAGATACCTGTATCGAGGTATTTTATTTAATGTATAATGATGTATTACATCTACGGAGTACTGTTTTTAGACGGTGGAAATGGCCCAGACAAGACCGATACCCGGGTACAAGGACAGGATAGCTGGGGCGCGAGTCGGAGCATAAAAAGCTTGACTGCGCTTGTTCAGATCAACGAATCATGCCCTTATGGAAGTCAATAGAATACACGCGAGCCAGTGGCCGCCTACGCCTGGCTGGACCTCAGAGTCTCTCACTGTGACAGTTGTCAAAGCCCAAGCCAAGCTGCAAGCCATGGCATCAGGTGGGCTGTGCTGGTCACTCGGCGACCTTGGATGGCAGCCCTGGTGTCGCATTGCACAAACCCCTCCACCACATGATCTTCTCTTCAGCGCCCGATACGCACCCATTGAGCATTGAGCATGAAGCATGGCGCCTCACGCCCCGAGCCGACATGGTGCATCAGTCAAAGCTTGTTAAATTACACCGGTGTGACCTGGCCGTGCCCGGCCGGAACCTCCGGAGTCTTGAAACTGTCCGACGGCGTTTGCTTCAAGCGCCGCGGGAACGGCGGAAATTGTGGTTCTTCTGGTGGATATTTATTTTGTTGCTGGGCTCATGGAGCCACTGTCGATCCATGGAACTAATCTCAATGGACTGAACCGAGAATCTGTGGCTAGGCTGGCTGGGAGGTAGGGAGGGTTACAGTTTGTGGGAGCGTACAGTACCATAACGTCCAACGGCATCGACCATACTCTGTGCGGAACAAGGGAGAAGCGCCAGGCCTGCAGATACAACCCAGGAAGACGCTGTAGGTTCGAGTCTGGCATTGACCGCTATCGTGGCCGGTGCATAATATCGCACTCGGCTGTCAGCAAAACTCTCACCTTCAGGGTCCAAAATTAGCCACTGAATCCGTTCCCGTTCCCGCAGCATTTGGTGTGTATCGGGCTCGGGAAACTCATTGAGCCCGCATCCCGGCAGGAGTCGGTGAATAAATCCCCCAAAATCTTACATGCTGGTAATTGGGGCCCTAAGCAGCTCCTGAGACCACGACACTCATCTCCGACGAAGAGTCTCAACATGTGTGCATGCTGGAGATGTCGCTGCAAGACACCTTTCAAGGCGGACAAGGTCTTCCGTTAGTTCAAGATTCAGCAGGAAATCAAGCACAAAATGACGCGACCCCACTGCAGGGAAAAGTAGCCAAGATCAGCCCTAGCCTCTACCTTCCAAGAGGGACAAGGATCTTCAAGCTGCCAAGAAACTGGGCACTGTCGATGAGATGACGAGCCACTCGCCATCCAAACCGAGAGAACGAATACTATCGGAAGCTGTTGCGAGCTCGGCACCCAACTTCAATGCAACCACTGTTACCGTAGCTCAACTCGCGTCAACGGATGAGATAGTTGCCGGGTAGATGAGCGAGATAGAGGGGTAACCAAAAGCTTGACGCGCGGCATGTGGGAGTGACAGGGCCCCTGGTAAGTGTGGCATCGGGAACACCAGGCTAAACTGGCCCTTCTTCTCTTCTTTAGTGCCATTCGGGATTGCTTGGCGGCAAGTTCCATGCCGAAGTGAGGCTCTGTACAAGCGCTCCTGTCGACGTCGATAGAGACAAAACTCTGGTCGTCGTAGTTTTACAGTATGCTTCTCGGTGACTGTGACTGGCGCAGGCGTACGCGTACTTCCACAGTGTTTTCAACTGCTCTTAGGTGCAGCACCTGTTGAAGGCGCAGTTCTGGGCTGACGCGGCGATGACGCTAGAAGCAGAGGCTGCATATTGAAGTCTCCAGGTGTGGATTTGGGAGACACAATGTCGCTACTATCGTCAAAGACATTTCGAAGGTGAAAAGAGCGAGCCAACTGGTGAATATTACATTTTTCTTGGTCCTCGGAAATCCTGAATGTTCTAGATGTGGTACTAAATGACTGTCATTGTTGACTTGGAAACCTCGCCGTTTTGCACTGTAGACTCTACAACAGCGAGTTTGTCAACCTCGAGAAACGGCAGCGGCAAGGGCAAGAAGAAATTTTACGTGTATGGTTGATGTATTGAAGGCTCAGGACTACGGGGACTATGGGCTGCGGCCACGAAATGCGAGAGTGAAGAACGAGGTGGTAGCTGTTTAACGATCACCCATTGTTGACTTCAGCATATCTACGCAAACACCATCTCCGTTCGAAGGAACAGTTTGCATGGCAGATGGTATCGACTATACTTGAACCGTCTATCCATCTTTGGCGACTCGAACTGAGCCTCAACGAACCTATAGCGAGATTTATGCTAGCATTGTAACCTACATAGGCGATACGTGGTCCTGGCATTTGATTGTGGTTATCTCAAGTACTTAATGCATGATCAACTAGGTTCTGAGGCAATATAGGTGTTCCTACACCCGCGAGAAAGTTAAATCTCTACGAGGAACTGCCTGCCTACGCAAGGGGGGTTCAAACATGTTCTATAGACCTATTCTTGCGACTCTATTGTACATAAATGGGGTTTTGGGTAACGCCGCATCGCTGTAAGTGTAGGGATCTATACAAGTGACTTAACTTCACAATCCCATCTGTTGTCCTCCGTGTGCCGTCCCTGGCTTCTACCCTGACTGGGCGTTCACGGCTCCACGGAAATCCTGCAAGAATCTCCACCTGCTCTTATCCTTCCATCCATTTTCCTTCCAGTCATTGACCTTGTCCGGGAAAAAGTTAATCACATCCAGGAGAGTGCTATCGTGGGCAATAACCACGAACACGTCGTCCCTCGCGTCAAGCTCAACGACCTTGCCCATTGACTTTTCTGCCTCAGCCACGTTTCTATCTGGGGCTTCTGAGAGATTCTGGTAGAATGGTTTATCTCGAGCCTGTTGTGGGTGGACTTTGACTAACACTTCACCTGGGCAAATACTTCCAGGTAGGAAGGACGGATTAGAAAACGGGGATGGTGAGATATCTTCAGGTAGAGGCAGATACTGTGAAGGCCGGAAAGAGCCGCAGTGATGCGCTGTGTCAGCACCCATGAGAACAAAAGTTGAAGGAGTAGTTCGAGCCAGCGCAGCCATGTGACCGACCGTATGCTACAAAGCAATGTTAGCTCACTAATACTTAGGTATGTTGATTGGCTTTCTTACACCAGGCGAATCGAGAAGATAAAAACTTCCATCCTCAAAGTAATCGACGGCACGGAAGTCTCCAATCTTTGTAGCGCCTGCGTGAGAGTCAAAGTCCATCTCGTGAAGTTCACGACCCCTGTTCGGTGTTAGTAACTGTCGCAGATATACGAACTCGTTCACGTACTGGTAATCCGTCTCAAGAATTAGTCCTTCTGGGTTTGCAGGATAACCGGGCAAAATAACGTCTTTAAATCCTGGGCCAACAACCAGAGAAGTTGTGGAGGGAAACGTTGAGGGGTCTCCAGAATGGTCAAGATGCCAATGGCTGAGGAGTAAGAGTGTAAGTAGTTTTTCAGTTTGTAGGTAAAGGACTCAACATACCTCCAGATGATAGCTTTGATGTCGTTCAAGTCAATGGAAGCTTCTTTCAGAATTGAGGCAACATCAGTATCAACAGTTACAGAAGCTCCCGACTTCTCTGACTCTGCGACAAAAGATTGGAGGATGGCTGGTGGGGAAGCAGCAATGTCCTTGCGAAGTCCTAGGTCGAAGATGAGCTTCTGGCCGGATGGATGCTCGATCAAGAATGAGTATGTAGGGCACTCCAAGAAGTCATGACCCGGAACATGGTCCTTGACAAAGGTTGTCATTGGTATACGCAGCCGCGCAGTGCTGTCGATGACTCTGACATCCACCACGTTGGTTGAGGAGGGAAGTTCGAAGCTGGGAAGAGAAGCTGCCATGGCGAGGCGAGATCTCGGATGCAACGATACGCTTGATTGTGTCTGTAGTGGGATTTTTCGTACTAGGCAATCAACTATTTATACACAACGTGTTGCGCTTTTTGGCTGTTCAAGGTGATGCTATTCCTCCGCGTTGTAAGCCACCACCCACTTTTTCGAAGCCATTCCCGCAGAGTTGGTCCGGCCATCAGGTACAGTGGCTTAGATAGTGCCACGCGGGAAGAGTAACCAAGGCACTAGCAGAGTTCAAGTTCCGGAGATCTTATTCCCCCGGACCGCCCCCTGACAGGCTAGGCTCTCCCCTGTTTAGGCCGTAGTCTTTTCCTAACACGAGAACAGCTAGAGCAATTCTGCTGGAACTACATGTTGTCCGATGATACCGAGTGGGCTCTTGCTAGGACCAAACACGTAATTAGGCCGATGGTGGAGCGATAGTGAATCATCCACGGTCAGATTATGGGCAAGGCATGCTCGAGGGTTATGGAGACTATTGTTCGACGAGACGCTTACCAAGTTTGGGTTCATATTCTCTTCCTGAAAGTTGGCTATTGTCTTCCTATTACATCTGGGATAGGGTCGTAATGTATACTAATAGTACCTGCTATGACAATGAACGGTGCGCATTGCCACTCGGGGCTCGAGCTGAGCAATTTCCCCTCAAGATGCCCAGTGCTTGATGGCAACTGAAGAGCCGGGTCTTGAAATATTTGAAACCCGGACACACTTAGTAGGAAAGTGCGGCGAGGTTGAAAGCGTGACCGTTTTGTGCAGACTACATCTGACTTGGGCAGAGCTATTCCGATTACGTAGCTATAAATGACTTATAGAGCGAACCACGCAATGTCTCAGTGGCAACAGGATTTAGTTTAACTCGAATGAATACCAAGTGTCACCGTAATGATTAAACGGAGAATGCAACTGGGATTTCAGGCGTCCTCCCACTGATAGATGATATGTCGCTCCCCCAATGCCGCCTTGAGGACCAATAGCAAGTCGTCAATCGAGGTCAGGAACTTCAGATACAGAGTTACTACCACACAATATCGTCGGTGGTTCTCGTCCTTCACCAGTGCCGTAGTCAAGATGGCATCGCCGCCCTGGGCGAGGTACGACTCGATGGCCCGGCGTACGAGAGGTGCAGGCAGCCTCTCTGGCAGAGGGGAGCCCGTCCTGAAAGCTTGCTCAATGATGCCAAGGACGGCCATGATGTCTCCAATGGAACGGTCATCGAGGATACCGGCCGTGCGGACAAGTCGTTCCTGTAGTTCTTTGGGGAGACAGCCAGCCAGCTTGAGAAGACTTCCAAGGGCCTGGTTCATGTACTGGCACTGCTCTTGTGCTTGTCTGAGGACTTGCTGATTGAACGGCCCGAAGCTGAGCTCGCCCTTGAGAAGACCAATCGAAGCACTGAGTGACATAAGGACCTCTGCTACCTCGATAGATACCTCCTCTGCTACTGTGCTGAGTGCTGGGTTTTGATCTGCTCGACCCCAGTGAGAGATGAGGAGGGCATAGTGATCAGACAGTGTTCGGACAGAGTTTGCAAGTGTCTTGCAGACATGAGTCGTAGCCGAGGGAGGACTCGGAAAAAGCTGCACAATGAATGCAGCAGCGAACCCAATCAAGACGGTAACTAGCCGTTTCCAGAATGCAACTTCACCCTTGCCTGGAAGTCCATATTGTTGAATGTGGTCATGATCCCAACTGAAACCAACGACGAGGGCAAAGGTAGCTCCAGCCATGATGCTCGCCTGGGCGTACGCTGGGGGTAGAAAGATTCGCCACCACATCAGCGGAAGAAGCATCACAGCTGTGATGGCACCCATGCCGTAAGGATTCCCTGGGCCATGGCCTGATCCGATATACCATGCTACCATGCCCATTACGCCGCCAAGGACTGTCCCTAGTGTCCGAGCAACCAGGGAAAAGGTGAAGTCAGCCAGGTACACAACTAGACACGTCTGAGCGCTGATGACGGCCCAGATTCCCTTTTCTCGATAGAAGAAGCCTGCGGTGCGAGGAATCGATGCGGGAATGGACGTTGCAATTGTCACAATAACCATACGCAATGCGAACATGCCAGCGGGGTTGGTGAGCCATTCGTAAGTTGCAATTAGCACGCGACTCAAAGGGTTCCTGCGAGAGGAAGAGCCTTGATACACTCGGGTAATCTCCAGGCGTCTTCGAGCCTCCTTTGTCTGCTCATTGAACACGGCCGAGTCCTTGGTCAAGTCGGGGTCGACCTCGTTTGCTGTGCCAGAGACTGGAATGGTGAGTCTCCCGTTGAATAGCCAGGAAATGGCATACTGGAACCGATAAGGGATCCAGATTCGATGACTTGTTCGTATCTGTGACAGCTGGAGAATGTAGTCAAGAAGCTTCTCTGTTGCCTCTGCCATGTTCAGGATCCGCTCCTCAACAACCATAGAAATGACGATACCGGGAAGAAACAGATTATCGGTTCCTTCATCATGCTTAAGGCGGCCATTCTCGTCAAACAACCCGGCATGAGTTTCAAGGACGCCTTTTGTGGTGTTGACGATGCAGGTTTGCCTTGCGGCACGGGAATTGGCCAGGGCGTCTTGCATATGGCGCGCCAACTCGTCAAATTGAGACTGAGAGGGCTTTCCAAACCACCGGCATGAGTTGACAGCATGAATGCAGTTGCTGGCGAGCTTGATAGCCTCGGAGCCGGTTTGCAGCACTTCAGAAGTGGTCTGTTCCAGTGTCATCCTTGTTCGGGAGCGTATGGTGGCAGTCTCGGGTGTTTGAAGGGCCTCCATTAGGTTGGCGCTCTCAAACCGGTGTCGTTGACCAATCTCATAACCTTCTTTCTCTATGGCTCGTCCGCCGCCTTTGTCGTGACGCGTTACCGAGTGATCTTCGTGCTTTTGAGCTGCCCGTATCCTGGCGATATGGAAGTCGATCAAATACAGGCTTGCAAACATGACCTCTCGAACACGCCCCTGCAAGCCGTGAACATCGTCTGAATTCCATCTTCCACGAGAGAAGTCGAGAGGGAGAAAGGCGAGGGATGGTTGTATGGCTTTGAAAACGGCAATCATGTTGGCTCGGGTTGCTCTTAGTTCAGCCAGGGAAACGTGTTGATCGGCTAGCCGTTTGCGCGTCACGTCCAATGCCTTATCCGTCATGCGTACGAGCTTTTCTACCTGACCCAGCACCACGTATGATGTTGACTGGGGGAAGAATAGAACGCAGCATGCTGCACCAAGCCCAGCGCCGACAGCACCCGGCTTCACTAGAACCGAGGCCAAACTGCCCAGGAAGCTTGGAACCGTTGGGCCCACGAGGATGAAGATATCGGTAACAATGGTGCCAAAGATCTGCATGACGATGAGCTTGGGGTTTGCGCACCTCAACCGTGCCAGGACATAGATGAAGAAGCAGCCCATGACGTAGAACACCACCACTACACGTGTGTCGATCAGAAAGCCTTTGTGTACCAGCTTCTGTGCCTCCCATGCCACGCTCTGGCCAGATATCTTTGCTGCTGCAACAGCTTGTTCTTGCAACGTGGCGAGCCTGGTATGTATGGTAAGGTCGGGTCTCGCAGCAAACGCGGCCTTCATCGTGAGAAGGCCCCAGGCCCAGGCAAGACACATGCCAAGTAATAGCGAGAGGGCAGCTAGTAGGTAGACAAACAAGATGCTAGCGGGCGGAACAATGAACAAGAGGATGGCAGCAAGGAATGAAGCTAGGCCGATGCTCTGGAGTGCTGGATCAATGAAGATAAGAAGCATTGAAATCCACACCGCGGCCCAGCAGCGGAAGAAGATTTTGAGGTCATGGAGGTTGAAGTGGTCCAGCCACTTTGGAAGTTGTCGCAACCGAGGCTGTTTGAACTGTTCCTCTTGCGAATCCGCCATTGTGCATGCTGTTCACGCGTTTCGAGGGAATCGTCGGAGGGGAAGCAAGTCACAACAGTCAGTCAGCATCATCATCGTATTTATTGGGGGGTCCAAAATTTATTAATATCGGGGCTGGTGCCAGTACCTATGACGTCTTTGTGCTCACAATTCCACCGATGCAAACCTTGATGCGTGCTTAGTTTCACTGCTAGCAGGGTCCATGCAGCCCGCTACGAGAGTTAATTGACTGTGAAGTGTCCTTGTCTTATTGACTTGAAACATGCGGATTGTGCGGTGAGGGCGATACTAGCCTTGATAACTACCTCTTTGCAAAGGCGGTGTCTCGCCATCAGAGAGAAAGGTCGATGCACACCTATCAATACTGGAAATGGGCTTTCACGATAGCGTCAACGGGTCCTGGTGCCAACCCTAAATAGATGTGGGAACAGTCGTCAGCTCCATCTCTTGGCATTAGACACCTTGGTCAAGCGTGAATAGGAGTGTACATGTATGTTGTTTTACGCAAAATAACCATTTGGCTATAGAATTAGATCAATCCCAATCTTCAATTACTCTTGAACCTAGGTTACCTATGTAAATAAACAGGGAACAATGATAGAGGGTTTCTTGTGCGCCGGCCCAGAAACAGGGGCTGACTCGCGGGCTGTGGCCTCAGGCACCTATCGAGACCATTCAGGCAAAGTGTGTGACTGGCCATTCGCAAATCATCTCCAACAAATCTCCCGCAGGGTGGTCAATCGGATAAGAGAAAAGAGCGGCACAACCGGTTTGAGAGGAGATAATAATCGTTATCATGCCTCCTCGATCACAGCCACGTGCTATGACCTTTACTGGGTATGTTGATGTGCTCACATTACGTCTTCGAGTACTGATAGTCAGTGACAGCTGCTGGACATGCAAGAAAAGAAAAGTCCGATGTGATCTTCGACCAACAGCGTGCAAAAACTGTGAAAAAAGGGGGATAGTCTGTGAAGGCTATGGGATCAGGCTACAATGGGTTTCAGACTCGCTAGGACAGGCGGAGTCGGGAACTGGCCTTCAAGGACGCCGTAACCTTCGACTTGGTATGCACCATCACTGACACCCTGGCTCCTTCACTGACCCTTTTTCATAGATCAGACTTGCAATCTGTATGAATCAGCAACTATCGATAGCTTTCTCTCGGCCATTGACCACGATTCTGAGTCAGGGCTTGCATCTCAACAAGGTCCCTTCTCCGCGTTCCCAGCCAAACCAGCAGCCACGCCTCGAATGGATGCATCTACTGCGCAGCCAGGATCTTTCCTCACGCCCATAGGCCCAATGGAATCTGATTTCCAAGATGAAAGCGATGGACACCAGTTGATGGCCCAAAGAATCCCATCACTTGAGCCACAATTACTTGGCACTGAATCGACAGCAGACACGACACAGTGGTGGCCGTTCGACTCTGGTCTCCCCGACTTCTCGGCATCAGAGCTCGAAAGCTCGTCAAGTGAATTAAGCCCACTCTGTTACTTGCCACCAGCCGATGAGGGATCAAGCGATCAGCAAGCGTCCGTTGACCTTGACGATTTGACACCAGCATCAGGTGCCATGGTGAACCTGCCTAAAATCGATACACGGCTACCAAAAAACATCTCGATAACACTATTTGGGGACACAGAGGTCGATTCGCTAATGAACCATTACAATTTACATGTGGCAGATCTTCTCCAACCGATAGATCATTCCGGGAACCCCTTCCGAACCCTGTATCTGTCCACGGCGCTTGAAGGGGTCTCATATCGTGCATGGGATACGGAAACACCGACAGCAAAAGTCTACTCTGCTCTTTCTCATTCTCTGGTAGCCGCCTCTGCTTTTCACCGATGGAATTGCGACCAACTGCAACCCAATTATCGAGAGATGGGTGTCAAGCATCGCTACTACGCCATTCAGGCACTGCAGGGTGCCATTCAACAGGCAGCTCCTGCTGCAAACTATAAGATTTTAATGGTCGCAGTGCTATCTCTCATCACTATAGGAGTCAGTCTCAGCCTGGCTCGAGACAATTGAACGAGCTCTGCTGACACAACACAGGTACTGTCGGGAGAGGGTGACGACTTTCGCTTTCATCTCAATGCTGCAGCTCAGCTACGCAGTCTACGCAGTCGATGGAAGATCATGAGCCGCCAATCTAGACAACTAAACGAGATTGGGGCCTTTCTAGCATTGTTGGCTCGCACGCTCACTTTCCAACCCTCCACATCAGCTTGGCCCGGCTGCGATGCCCAGCCCAGCACAGAGGACAGCACGATTATAGAGCGGAGTGGCTGCTATGAGTACTTGTACGGTGTCACGCCTGATATAGCAACGTTGATCTACCAAACGTGCCAACTGGCCGAACACCTACCACGGTTCCGAGAAGAGGGAGAACCCATGCCGGATGACTTCCTGGAGATGTGTGAACAAGTTGGAAACAAGCTCCAGGCCTGGCGGTTCAACTCTGAGAAGATATCGTCAATCCCGCGGAGCGATGAACTGAGGTTTGCGATTCTGACGCACCAAGCCAAAGCCTGGCACAGTGCAGCACTCATCTACTATTATACTCGTATCCAGGATTGCTCACCTGAGGATGTCGTCCAAGAGGTCGAGTGCGTTGCGGAGCATATGCAAGCAACTGAAGATGTAAAGCTGGCATTTGAAACTGCATATGACGAGCCAAAGATGGCGCCCCTCACCTGGCCGGCGTTAATTGCTTCTTGCAACGCTTTGAGGTCCAGGCGTGAGGTTTGGCGAAGATGGTGGGCACGCATGCAACTGTACAGGATCGCCAATATAGATAAGCAGTGGAACATAGTGCAGCAGATCTGGGACATAGTGGACGGTCGTGAGGAGCAAGGAGAAGTGTCTGTTGCTTGGACGCAAGCTTTTGATAGCATCGGGATACATGTGCTGCCGACCTAGTTGATATTTGCGGAGGTCTTTCTCTGGTACTAATTGGAGAGTTGCCGAAATGCGCATTAACCTATTGACTTCAGGGACGTCAAGATAGCCAGACAAGCAGGATATCAGGTGGTTGTGTGGACACCTTTTCGTCAACTGTTGCTTCAAATTTGATCATCTTGCAGGTCGCCTCAAGTACCGAGGCCTCGCTACTCCCGTAGACAACCAAGTAGGTTGCAGTGAAGCAGCAGGAAAACGCCTTTCAGAACGATGGCATCACGAAGCCCAATGCGGCATTAAAACGGTAGCCCTGTGCTGGAAAATCTCTTCTGGTAAGAGGCATTCAACTGCGAGGTAACTGTGCTTACACTCCTTTGTTATAGAAATAGACTCGCCAGGCAAGAGACTCCGAGGCTTTCTCCACACCAACGATGCTGACTGGAGGTGTCGCTGCGCCAAGTGGGCTGTAATGCACGCACAAGCTGGCCCATGATGACAGTCATACTCACACCCCTCCAGAAGACCAAGCGGACAATACTCTGCAGTAACGACGCAGAAGGGTGACCTAGAAATGTCATGGAAGAAACTTCTGGGTTGCTATATCGAGACACTGAAGGTATGGTGTATCTAGCCATCTTCTATTATCTACACCACCTAATGAATTCCTCTCTCCACAACCGTGCTGGTCAACCCAGCATTTCCCACCAAACCGATATTCTTAAGAGCCATAGATGACCTTTGATACAACACCGTGATCAAAGTTGCCGCCGCACAGAAGAACAACACTGGTCTTCCCCGCCATGTCCTTGGCAACCTTATTGAAGCCCGCAAGAGCCAGAGCAGCAGAACCTTCAACGATCATGTTCTCGTCAAAAGCAAGAGTCTTTAGGCCCGCAATAATATCTTCTTCGTCGCACTCGATAACGTGATCGACCACCGACCTGGCTAGCGGCAGAGTGATGGTGTCTTCGTCGATACCCCCAGCTACCGCTTCAGCGAGGGTGGGCAGGTGTTCCGTCTCAACTACTCGACCAGCGCTCATGGAAGCAGCCAATGCCTTCGAGTTGATGGCAGCAATGCCGTATACTTCGGTCTGGGGGCTGAAGGCCTTAATGACCGAGCCAATGCCACTGATCAATCCACCGCCACCCATCGAGATGAAGACGCAGTCTACCTTTTCGCACTGCTCAAGGATCTCTAGTCCAATGGTGCCCTGGCCAGAAACAATGTCGCTATCGTTGTAGGGCGAGATGTATGTGTATGTTCCAGAAGCAGCCAGCTGCTGCGCGTGCTGCTCAGCCAGACCTGTCTCAGCGCCGTGCAAGATCACATCGACGCCGTACGATTTAATCTTTTCAAGCTTTGCAGGAACCACCGTCTCTGGTAGCACAACAGTGAGCTTCTTTGAAAGGGCCTGCGATGCTAAGGCGGCACCGATTCCATGGTTGCCGGACGATGCCGTGATGAGAGGCCCTTGTTCGGTATGGGCTGACATCTTGGACATAGCGCCTCGGAGCTTGAATGATCCTGTGAGCTGAAAGTTCTCCGCCTTGAAGAGAACTTTTGCGCCATGATCTTGCCCCGTCTTCCGCGCTGGAATGAGAGGCGTTTCGTAGATATGATGGCGGATGCGATTCCGAGCTTGGACGGTAAGAGCGGCGATTTCATAGAAATTCGACATGGTGGATTTCTGAATAGAGAGTGTTTGTCGAAGGAAGATAAATCGGAAGGTTGGACGGGGTGAGCTGGTGTTTTTAAACCTTGGACCTCGATTTGGTGCTCACTGATAACTAGCTGGGCCCGAAGGGGTGAATGTAGTCTTAAATGGCTCGAGACTTGTGTCCGAGATACTGCATCTACATGCTTCCAGTCATTTCTGCCCATTTTTTGTTCTGTATCGTACTAATTCCCAGAGTAGATTCAGATTACTCTCTTGTTGCCCAAATGCATGAGTCTGGGACACCAGATTCTGAGAAGACTGGAACGGATATGCACTATACGTCTAATACTCCCACGGTGCCTAGTAAACGCACATAAAATGAAATTCCACTGATTTAGGTAAAAAAGAAGTTCTAGGTGTATCAACTCTCCCGAGGAGAGACTTGAATGGAAGATTGGTTGTATTTGGTCATCCAGATGATGATTTTGTGCTTAGGAAGCGACTATTGCGATAGAAAGAGGCTGTCCTTTTCTCGTGTTTTATTCTCTCAGTTCTTAGATTGTATCTTACAGTTACTTCTTCGTAACTTTCTGCCACATTTAAAGGCTCTCGAGTCGTTTGCTCGTGTTCCAGGCTCTTCCAGTGTGTCCCAGAACGAACACTGTGACTACCCAATAGTTCGTTTCTCACAACAAAACAATCCATTGGCTCACAACTCTGTGATATTCCGGCCTTTTTTCTGCGCCGTGCTCCAATGCATGACTAGACGTTACCTTACCCCTCGTTGTTGAGCAGAGGCTACAAGCACATCTCCTCTATCCCATCAAACCCCCCACCTTGAAGGGTAGGGGGAAAGAATGTAAGTAGAGTGAAACTGACTCATCAATGGGCTCATTTCTCAAGTGACTCCGAGTTATTGTTCTACATGCAAGCAAAACGTTGCGACATCTGTGGGTCAGATCTCGGAGTCTCTTGCTTAACCAGTCCCGGGTGTGGGCATAGGCTCTAAATGGCCAGTCCACTCCATGAAGTATAAGCCAATGACGAGCTAACATGAGAGGCGATATTAGCAATTGGTTACGGAGGATGCACATCTCCAGGAATAGGTGGGTAGAATGGGGTATCAGCTTGGCAGCTGGCCCATCTGGTCCAGATAGCAGGTGATCACCGCTAGCTGAATTCTTCGTGTATATTTACTCACTACCCATTTCCCTATCATCTACTCATACCGAAAATTTCTCTCAGTTTATTTCCTTTCCCTCATATTGTGCACCATGTCGTATCGGGAGCCTGTTGTTACGTCTGCTGCTTGCGCTCCCCTCCCTCAATTCTCCCAAGCCGTCAAGTTCAACGGCATGGTGTACTGCAGTGGCACGATCGGCATTGACCCAGAAACTGATGAACTCGTCTCGGGGACGGTAACAGATCGCGCACGCATGGCTCTCAAGAATCTCCAGGCTGTACTTGAGGCCGCTGGGAGTGGCATGGATCGAGTGGTAAAGGCAAATATCTTTTTGGCCAACATGAAGGATTTTGATGCCGTCAACATTGCCTGGGATGAGTTCTTCCCCAAAGACCCCAAGCCTGTAAGTTTGGTCAAAGTCAACAAGCTCCTGAAGCGAGTCTAGACTGATAACCGCTTTATTAAGTGTCGGACTTGTGTGGCTGTCCATCAACTTCCACTAGATACTGATGTTGAAATTGAAATGACAGCGAGCTATGACTAGAGGGTGAAAACTGGGATTATGTATATGGGATTGGGTTTCAGATCATGAGAGATCATTGCCACCAGACTGCCGTCCCCTCAACAGCATTGTGAAGGCCATGGTGCCAATATCTAGCAGGGGTTGGTTCATGAAAAATGGGAATAGATATGAATTTATGATTGGGATTGTGTAGTAGTTCAATCTACATACAACTAAGGCTCTATTTATCCTTCGTGCTCTTCGGGTGCTGCCTCAAATCTCTGGCGCCATCCATGTAGCAAGGTCAATCAGAACAGGGTTCACTTTGCCTCGGCCAGCAGCCAGCATAGAGGTGCGTTTTGAAGAACATATTGGCTGTTTTCCAGTCGCAAAGCTAGGCGAGTGTGTACCGCTTCTGCAAGCTGAACAGAGTTATCGACTCGGACGGTCGAAGCAACAACAGCCGCTGATGGCAGAACTAAACAATTTGTTGAGTGCTACCAAAAACCCTTTAACGTACAAGACTCTTGATAGTAGTTAAACGCTCTCTCATCAAGTTAACGGTCGCCTTCGCTAGTCTATCCTGACTATATAATTGTATCTATTCCCAAAGAACGAATATCTTGGCGCCCAGCCTGTCCGGCTGGACTCACAGCGGGGCCATTCATGAGTTATTTTACGTGTGAACATGATACCATCTTCTGTGTCCCTACCATTGTCAGAGTTTTCACTTTCAGCTGTCATTCTTCAAAGACTTCTTCTTTGAGCCGAGGCCTGAAATATGAGTCTGGGGAAGAAACCCATTGTAACCCAAGCCCACCTCTTCTTAGGAGCGGCCCGAATTATATGTAGCAGGGATCTAAGGGCCGATTTATAGTACAGTCAATTGAAAGGTTATTTGACAGGATCGGCGGAGATTCTACAAGGGTTGCGGAGTTTCCACGCTTGAGGGGAGTTCCTTAAAGACATGAAATGAGGCCAGCAACATCCCCGCAAATTGTGCCAAGCACTGTCTAGCATGTAGCGACATTCTGTTCTTCCCGGTTTATGTAAAAATCTGTAACCTTGCTTGATATTTCTGACTCTTTCAACCTTCTCTCTTGATCATTGCCGATCCTAGCCCTGCATACCCCGTGGAGGAAATCTCGTCGGACCGGCATCGAGCCAATAGCACACCTACACCTGGGTATGTAACCACTTTCAGCAGGCCCGCCGAGGTTATATAACCTCACATGATTACGCGCTGGGCTTCGGGCCGATGAGAATACAGGGACGCACTTGATGCAACAGCCTGTCGAATGTTTCCAATGGGATGAACCGCCATGTCTTGCACCCCTGTAACACACATGGCCATTGGGCGGGCAATCTAACTCGAAACGAGATTCTATTAGTCTACCCCGCAGTAAGCACCAATCATTCCACCGTCTTGAGCTCGGTCGCTTTCAAGCGAATCGGGCCCTCTCGCACAACCGACCCCAGACGATGAAGGCAGCCGGATTGGCTCCCACGCTCATGACAGGGGCTCGTGACATTCAACTCTTGTGGACGAGTTTATTAGAGACATGAGATCCAAGTATTTAGATGCTCATCAGTGCCGCACATTCCACTGTCTGAGTGCAAGACAGAACACCTCGTCTTCAGCAACCATCAGTCCTGGCCAAGATGAAGCCCCTTTATGCATTGGCTGCTGTCTTTGCCAGCATTTGTCCAACTGCTCTTGCAGCAGATGCCGCTGCCTGGAAATCTCGAAACATTTACTTTGTTCTCACCGATCGGATCGCTCGCAGCTCCACTGATAATGGAGGCGCATGCTCAGACTTGGGCTCCTACTGCGGCGGGACCTTCAAAGGCCTAGAGTCTAAGCTTGACTACATCAGAGGCATGGGTTTTGATGCTATATGGATTACCCCAGTTGTCTCTAGTAAGCCTACACGGTCCATCTGCAATTATTTAGTCAATAACCATGTACTCAGATACCCCAAATGGATACCATGGGTACTGGGCCGATGATTTGTATGCCATCAACTCCAAGTATGGGACGGCTGAAGACTTGAAGAGCCTAGTCAGCTCAGCACACCAAAAGGTAACAAGTCCATGTTCTCTAGCATTCTCGATACTGACAGAAATAGGGAATCTATGTCATGGTCGATGTGGTCGCCAACCACATGGGCCCCAACATTGGGGGGCACAAGCCTGAGCCTCTGAATCAGCAGAGTTCGTACCATTCGGGATGCGAAATTAACTACTCCGACCAAACAAGCATCGAGGTCTGCAGCATCGCTGGCCTTCCTGATGTCAAGACAGAGAATTCCGAGATCCGTACTCTTTACCAGAATTGGATCAAGTGGTTGGTGAAGGAGTACCAGTTCGACGGTATCCGGATTGACACAGTCAAACACGTTGAAAAGGATTTTTGGCCCGGCTTTCAATCAGCTGCCGGAGTATACTCGATTGGGGAGGTTTTTGATGGCAATCCAAACTATCTGGCAGGGTATGCTAGTGTCATGCCTGGCCTTCTCAACTACGCCATCTATTATCCGATGAACAGATTCTACCAGCAGCAAGGATCTTCCCAGGATTTGGTCAACATGCATGATGAAATCAGCGCCAAATTCTCCGACCCTACTGTATTGGGTACCTTTTTGGATAATCACGACAATGCTCGATGGCTGAACCGAAAGAACGACGTTTCCCTTCTCAAGAACGCCCTGGCCCACGTCATTCTCGCCAGAGGTATTCCCATTGTCTACTACGGGACTGAACAGGGCTATGCGGGAGGCAATGATCCAGCGAATCGAGAGGATCTCTGGCGAAGTGGATTCAGCACCAATGCAGACTTGTACCAAGCCATCTCTCGTCTTTCCAATGCACGATCAAAGGCTGGCGGTCTTGGCGGGAATGATCACAAGCATCTGTTTGTAGAAAACAACGTCTACGCATGGAGCCGTGCCGGGGGAGACCTCGTCGTTCTCACCACCAATCGGGGCCAGGGCTGGTCGGGTCAGTATTGCTTCTTCACACAAAAGCCAAACAAGTCATGGAACAATGTTTTCGGACAAGGTTCGTATACTTCAGACAATGATGGGCGGGTTTGTGTCAATGTCACGAACGGGGAGCCTGTTGTTTTGCTTGCGAGCTAGGCGGCTGATGGCTGATGCTTTGTGCCCCCTGAGGCAATTCATGTCAATACTTGTTCATTTCGAACCCACTCGTTTCAAGAATATTCTGTTTTCAGAGTACATAGGTAGTTCAACCGTATATAACATGATCAGTCTTTACCTAAAACACTAAAGATGAAAAATGAGCGGAACACGCGAGCACAGGGCAAAGCCGACA